TTCTGCTTACCATCAGGAGTATCCGACCCTGCAAGCCACAGATGTCTCAGGCCAGGCCACGCCAAGCTGTGATGTTCCAGACTGCAATCAAAAGCAAAAGCAAACCTGCAAGCAGGGAGAGGGAGACCAGCTGCACTTGGTGTGATGTGTGAGAGGTGAAAGTGATAGCAAAGTGTCAGGAGAAAATTGCTCAGCCACATCTGTGCTCACCAGAGGGCTGGTGTGGGAAAATTAGACAGCTGAACCTTGATTAGCAAAAATTAGATAACTGAACCTTGATTAAGCAAAAGACACCTTTGGTCTGATTTCTAGCAGCCCTGGAGAGTGCAGTGCATGCCAAGGACATACAGATGGGAAAAGCTGAAACTTGGTATGCTAAGTCATTTGGCAAATGCATGAACTGTACACAGTGCTAACAGGGAGAGCCTGAAATCAAACACAGTGAATGCCCCATGTCCTTAGCCAACAGGAGGAACTGGAAGGTGCCTAACTGAAGGCTAATAACCAAAGGAGGAAGACAATCTGGGATTAAGCAGAGGCTTTTACCAACAGAAGTAGGGCTGGTGTCTCCTCTGGTTAACAGCTGCTTGCTTGTCTGCAGAAGGACTGATAGACCTGCAGGCAGCTCTGGAAAGAGCTGGTCAATACCAAACTGCCACAGAGCTCCAGAAGCCATTCACACCACAGACTGTGGCTTGTGTGGCTGAGAAGTGTGGGGGAAGCTGAGGAGGAGAAGGGCTTCCCACTCTGCTTTGGAAACAAGGCAGCAATGCGGTCATTTTCCGTTCCCTCACAAGTGCCAAGTGCCCTGTCCAGGACGTACCTGTGCCATCGTGAGAGGGGCTGGAGGCAGAATGAGCCAGCCTGCCTGCAAGCAGCTGGACGAACACTGCTGGATGCCTTTCATATGCCTTTCTCATATGAATGCAGCTGATAAGAGAGCAATAAGCTCCACTGTCTCACAGGTCTGAGGAGAGTGGTGGGAATGGTACAGCATATCCTGACATTTCTGCAAGCTTTCCTTATCATCTTCAACATCTGGATTGCACTGTTCAGCATTTCCTACACCACATTGCAAATCACCTTTCATCTAACAAGGCTGTGTTCAGTGAATGAAGTGAAATATTTTTCTCACTAAATTAGAACCAGCCATGGTAGCAGGTTCTTGTAAGACACTGTGCACTGCTGCAGCACCCCAGCATTGCATGAGACGGAGGTTATTTCCAATTTCGAAATACCCCTGCATATTATTTCTAATACTGAAATAGCACCTGCTGATGCACAGCCCAGGGAAGGCAGCCCACCCTCCATGTTGTCTCTGAGAGCTGGAGCAGGGTCCAGGCATAGGCTCCCTACACATCTGTGCTAACAAAGACATGTGAAAGCATTAGCTTCCTTCACAAACTGTACATCCAGTCAAAATTAAAACCAAATGGCTTCTAGCAAACAGAGCATTTTTCCAGAGTGGTTGGAGAAGAGGTCTAGCACAGCCTGTCAGCCCATGGGTACAGCAGTCATAACCCAGAGCATGGCAGGGACAGTCATGGGTAAAATCTGTTGCCTTCTCAAAATCCTTGCACAAGAGCTGAATTTACTGAAGAGGATGGGGCCTTTTTGGTCACTCGTGAGGGTGACGTTGTCCTTCCAAGAGACACGAACACTTGCACTCTGTTGCAAGCCAAGCCTGGCTGCTTGCAATTTAGCTGACAGCGACTAATCATGCTAGATGAGAAGCTAATCCACAACTCATCTGGCACTAGTTCGTACACTGGGCAGGTCCTGCATTCCAAGCCAGCATGGTCCCTATGTGTGCATGTTGCTGGCAGCCTCCAAGCAGTAAAATCTGCAGAGAGGTGCAGGGGCCCATGTGGAATCGCCCAGACCTCCATCACCTCGAAACAAGGCTGCTAAAAATTCCAATAGCCCAGGGAGTAACATCCATATACAACCAGGGGAAAAAACCTTCAGAGCAACCCCAGGTGTAGAAGAGGTCTGAGGGATTGTGCTGCTGTTGTTGCTGAAGAACTCAGTAGGAAATGAAGCAGAGCAGAAAAAGTGAGCTGTACAGTGTGTGGCCCACAGTTCCAAAGGAGGTGTTTTAGTCAAGCTGGCACAGACAGATTTTGCAGAGAAACCCACTCAGGAGATGAAGGGAGGAACAGCAAGATTCAGTTTGCAGCAGGTCAGGAGTGCCTGGGTCAACACATTAGTAATGAGCTGCAGAGGTAGGTGCAAGCCCTCAGGACCTCAGTTGCAAGACCACCTTGTAGGGCTGGGACAACAAATCCTCTCCTATGCTCTGTTCTTCCACAGTGCTCACCCACTGTCTTCCACTCCTCCACACCCTCAGTTTGCAAAGGAAGCACTGCTGGGACTTGCCCAGCAAAGCCTCTTCTCGTGCAGGACTGGGCAACTGCCCCAAGCAATACCAGGGACCTCCTTCTCCTACTGGGACACCAACCTCTGCCAGAAGGGCAGGGTGAGTGTTGCACTGCATAGGGACAGAGTAGGGCCAGGCAGCACAGCAGTCTTGGGGAGACAGTGAGCCTTCACTCAAGTGTGTTGCAGAAGAGGATGTGATAAACCCTGTCCTGAGCCTTTTTCTCCATAGAAGCAGTCAGAGAGACTGAACAACAGGACGGGGCAGTCAAAGGCAGAAGCTAAACACACCCATGGTGACAGGGAAGTGCCACTGTGAGCATTTTCCAGTAACTGCTGAAAGCAAAGCAAGTATGTGAAAAGGGCAAAAACAGAAGGAGGTGACTCAGTGACTAAGAAAAATAAACAATGGGTGTTTCACAAGAATGAAAGGGAAGAAAACAAATGATACCACTGTAAATACTAGCCAGGAGCTCACCTGGTAAGATGGCTCTGCAGGATCCCGTGGTGCTGTGAAGGCCATGACTTCCCAGGAGTCACAAAGGCTTCTCCAGAGGCAGAAAGAAGTTGGGTCGTGGAGCTGCAGGCCCTGCCAGCTCTAGTGTAGGTGGTGGAAACCTCCCTTGCTTCCAACCCTTCCAGAAGATTAAGTTAACAGCTCTCCAATGAGCTCAGATGCCTCCCAGCAGTCAGATCTCTCACCTGCCCTCAGAGCCCTCAGGCTCATTCTGTCAGTGCTGGTCATGGCTCCTGCGAGCAGCTGGAACAGCCCTGCATGCCCAGCTCCAGCTGCAGGAGCTGTAGGACGGATCTGCCAATCACCACCGTACCTGTGACAAACTCAGATGAGCAAACAATGACAGTGCTCCCCATGTGGGCCTGCCTCGGGGACAGCCCTGTCCCTGCAGCTCCGAGCCCCACAAGCGGCACTTGCAGCTTGGCCTTGCCCATCTGCTGCTCCCATGGAGCTCAAAGCAGGCTCCCATGCTGGCCTGGGGGCAGCCACGCTGCTGGGCTCTCCAAATGCCTCCCTGCAGGAGCAAGCTCAGCTCTGTGCCAGCCCCACCTGGCAGCGTCCCAGCAGAGCACTCCCCTCTCCTGCAGGGAAGCTGCATTGGATGCTCCCCTTCCCTACAGCGCAAGGCTGTGAGGGGCCAGCTGCAGCCCAGCAAGGCTGGGCCAGGAAAACACCCTGCCACAGATTCTGGCTTTGTCCAGGTGCTGCCTCTCAGTACCAAGAGACCCCCAGGAAATGTGCCAGAAATATTCTCTGGTTCCATTATGGAAATACTGGCCCAACCAGGCAGGCTTGGCCAGTATGGCCTGTGAAAATCAAGGACAGTGGTAATGTGGTATCCCTCATTCTCAATACACATATAAGAACCACAAACCTGCTGGGAGCAGAAAGCAGGGGTGGCTGTCACTTCCTCCCAGTTTTCTTGGGAAATTAGTGAATGCCCCGAGATTATGTAGTGCTCACATGGTGTCAGAAGTCAATGCTGAATGCCTGGAACTGCATCCATGGGGATTTCCCCCCATTCCATCATCAGCCCTACTAGTGAACTGTGCAAGCTACTGCTCTTTTATACTGGTATTTTTGGTATTCCCATTCCAATTTTAAGCATTTCTTTGGTCAACTAAGAACAACTTTTGCTGAAGTCTCTTAAAACAGTACCATTTTCAGAGAGATCAGTGAAGCTCCCAGTGCTGCTATAAGCACAAGGCAAGAAGTTAGAAATTACTTTGCTCATGACAATGAGATGTCTTAAGAGCAGCCTCTCCAGTTCACTCTAGCAGAACTATAATCACTTTGGTACCAAGCAATTATTTATTTCATCTTTCCCTGTACTGTAGGAGGAAAGATTTTTAACTGAGCCCAATCCCACTTGCATTCAAGTGGATTGCTAATTAAGCTACAGATGTCTCTTGATGGCAGCAATAATTTCTAGTAACCTTAATGAGATTGTTACATTCCTTAGTTATTGTTATGAAAAGTTATATGAAAAACTATGCCTAATACTACACAGCTCCTGGGGGAATAAATTCTTGATCTGTTCTGGTTTGATTAAAGGGAATGATTCTTTCCTTTCTTAGCAATATTTCTCAAGCTCTTTGTGGCTCATTTACCTTTTGTTGGCACTTTTAACAAGTCTGATGGAATTTTTCACACATCTTCTTTGGAAAAGGTCTTTTTTTCCAAACATTTCTATCCGGCTTTGCTCTCCCTGAATTCTCCAGTGCCTTTGCTTGGTTTATTGCATAATTTTTCCTCTCTTTTCCAGTGATTGACTCTGTTTAGAACATACATTTTACTTACAACAGGGACTCAGTGCCTATCAGAACTCCGCAGGGTTTGAGGTTGTTGTTAGTTTGTTGCAGATACAAGAAATCCATGTCCTTACACTGGAACTTGAGGAAAAGCCTCCCTTCAGTGCACAGAAAATAAGGATATCCTTGAAACACTGAATGGAATTAACAGAATAAACTAAAGCAGCTAAGCACATCTTTTCACATCATCTCTTCTCTCCTGTGCCTTTTTGTCCAAAATCCATGCATGCTATACAACAAGTAATATTATCCAAGGAATAAAGGAGTTCATTCCATTTCAAACCAAAGGATCATTTCTTTTTTAAATCTGTATTTATTGGGTTTATACTCCCACTCTATTCCTCCTGAAGTCTCTTACCATAGGCAAGAGGTGCACAGAAAGCATGTCAGTGGTTATGACTACTTCTCATGGCTTAGTACCATTTTCAGGAGCATCAAAGTTCATAGGAACATGTGAACTTCCCTTCAGAATCACAAGCAATTACGATTAAACTCGAGTCAAACAGATTCCTGCCCAGCACAACACATCATGGAAAGCAGCCATAGACCCAGGTGCTAATTCCTGACCAAGCAATTAAAACACCACAGTTCAGAGAAGCATTCAGCAACGATCCCATTTTTCTGACATTGAAACCAAAGGAAGGCTTTGGAGCACCTTCCACACAAGCAATTAGAGCAGGTAAATGTAGGAGCTTTTGAATTTCCCAACCACTGCCTGACTACCTTCTGAGCTAACCCAAACACTCGTGAAAGCATAGTTGGCAGAGTAACTTTCAACAAAGCTTACTTTGCAGGAACTACTGATTTACTGAAACAAACCTTTTGTGGAAATTTGCTGTTTTGGCTACAATATTTCAAGCCCTGGGATGGCATTTCTGGATGAAACCAGCAAGATAAAGGAGCTGGTCTGATAGCTCAGCAATGAAAGAGAATAGCAGGGCCAGAATTTAGGTCTGAGAGCTCAGATTACTGAGTAGCCTTGCATGCAGGCTGTGAACTATTTTGCAGTGCCTTTTCTGCTCTGTCTTTGAATAAAAACAAATAAAACAGCCTTGATTTCTTACTGTCAAACAGAGCTCTTATCTTTCAGTCACTCTGTGAACAAAAGGCAAGATGAAATCAGGTAGCAAAAAGTAAGGAACTTGCTCAAGCTTGCAGAATCCTCAAAATAGTGTTTAGACCCTGATGGTCTCCAGTGTGACCTCCCATGAGGAAAAGGACTGCCACCTCCAGTACAGCAGGTCACATGTGGCTTCATTCAGCCAGGCCATGAACATGAAGAAGAGATCTCTTCACCTGTTGAGGTACCTGTTCTCCTGCAGCATCACCCTCCCAGGGACATCATTCTTCCTCATGTTCAACCTCCCATGGAGCAATCCATCACCACGGCCACTTGCTGTAATGCCTGTGGCCATCACAACATGAATTTGGTTCTGCCATCTCTATGGCTCTTCTTTAAGCAGTTGTACAAAACCGCTACTGGATCCACTTTCACCTCTCTCTTCAGGCCTGACAAGTGCCCTTGTGCCAAGGACATCTCTGAACCTAAGGGATGCCTCTGCCTCCTTTTGATGTCCAGGCACACTCTGCCATGCAGAGAAAAGGCTCTACAGGAGGGGTAAGCAGAGACATCATGGTGGACTGAGTCCTGGCATGGGTGGCAGCACTTGCTCAGCTGCTCAGTTTTAGTCTCCTAACATAAGCCAGCACAGTATCATTCTGTTTGGGAGAGTGGTGTGAACTCTGCTCTCAAAGAAACATTTCCTTCAGCTCAAGCTTTGGCATTTTAAACAAGTGCAATTAAATGCACTGAAAATGCTACTGCAACATGAAAGCTAAAAATAACAACACAAAATGCCAGGAGTCACTCACAAGAAAAGTTCCTGGAAGAAATGCCCACTCACCCACACTGCACAAGCTTAACATTGTCCAAGTGACAGCTTGCAATTTGAAGCCAGATAAACAAGCCACAATTCAGCCTTTTTCCTATTGCCTGAAGTCTGCACTCACTAACAACTGTATCAGCACTAGAACTGACACCTTTTGGAAACTCTCTGATCTGCATCAACAGGTAGGTCCCCAGCTACTATTTGGTACGGATGCAATTACTTATGAGTGTAAATTTGTACCTACAACTGCTAAACCATTCCTTGTTTATACCACAGAATGTAAACTTCAGAAGAAACATGTGCAGTACAGGTTCATGGACGCTCTTAAGAACTAATACTGTCCTTGATGATGATAAAAAATTTGAATTTCAAATTTGTAGCCTTCACCTGACAAAAACAGCATCCTGAATATGCTGTGCTTTTTAAAATGCACTGAATGCTGAGACTTCAGTAAAAAAAATTTATTTTCAATATAAAAGTGCCAAAATATTCACCAACATTGTAATCTATCCAGCAACCAGCTTACTCTAGTAATCAAAATTGCAAGCATCTTTATTCACATTTTTAAATCAAATTCCTTTCACACGTTTCCACAATAACCCGAGTCCCTCGAAAGTGGGAAATTTGCATTTCGATTGGCTGCTGTAGTCCATATGTCCAAGTTCATGTAGGCACGGAAAGGGTTAAACCTCGGATAGTATTCCTGCTTACACATAACTGCCTGGTTCTCCACGTGGGTTGAATGTTGAGTCGTGGCACTGACGGGGCAGCAGCTCTCATAAACATCACTCTGGGGTGCCCAGATGGAACCAAAAAGTCCAGACATTGGAGACAAGCTTCGGGTGCTTGAGAGGTAGGGCTGCAGAGCAAGATAAAACCAGCATGGGAAACTGCAACACAGACCATTTGCCAAGGAAAATCTGGAAATGCTAAGTACTAAATGGGAGAGAGGAAGCAGGATTTATGCAGAAATTTAAGAAATCCACAAGTAGAAAATTACAGAGGAGTTTACAAAGAAATATGGCTGCCAAAAATATTACAGCAGCATTAATGTATGTGTGTGTGTATGTGTGTGTGTTTAAAAGCCCTCCACTGAATGAAGTCACATGAGTTCCTCCCTGCACAGCACAGATATTACTCTAAGAACAATATAGTACTCAGTTCTGGTCAGACTGTTGAGGGAAATAGAGGAGAAATGGAAGACACACAAAGATCACCATGCATACTTTGAGAGTTAAAATGAAAGGAGAAGGATGCCTAGAAATGACAAGAAATGGGCTGAAGTATGCGTCAGTCCAGAAAGACTGTGCATGCTGGAAGCAGAAAGGGATATTCAGTGTGAAAAATGAGACTGTAATTGGGAGCTAGGGAATTTAGTTAGAAAATTTTGAAAGCTTATAAAGAACCTCCTGGAGGGCAAGATGTATTAGTCTGCAAGGAAGTCTCTCAGTGAAGGTCATGGAAGTCTTGGGACTTTTAAAACTGAATGAAACATTGAAATGTATTGTGGAGAAAAGCTCGCCAGGGAAATAAACTGAATTATCTAATGCATTTTCCAATCTCTACCTTCTGTGTTTCCTGGCATTCCTGAATAAAATATGAAATAAAATATATGTTTATTTTAGGAAAAATTCTTCTACCAGTTTTGCCACTTTTTAACATAGACGAATTTTCATTTTTACAGTTGAAAATATTTCTTGCTTTATTTAGTTAGTTTCATTCAAAATAAACCTATAGTAAATTTTAAAAAAAAATCCAAAATACAGTATTTTGAAAAATGAGCAGAAGAGAAGATAGTTACAATTAAAGACCACCTTGAACTGAAGTTACTACACTGCACTGTGGGATGACAAACATGGCTAGTCTGGAGTATAACAGGTTAAAGTCAGGATTCTGAAATCTGCATAAATCCACCTTAAATCGCTTGAATTTCCTACCAAAAAAAACCCCCTGTTAAAGTACCTGAGAGCAGCTGTCCAATCAGCTCTTCAATTTTCAAATCTCTCTGGGTTTTTCTGTCTGCACTTTTTGGGTTTTAGCCTCAGGTGGACACATTGATTTTCACAGAAAAATGTCTCAGTAGACTACATAAGCCCAAAATATTTTTCCATGTGTAAGCTGATTTTAGTCAATTTTCAGGCAAAAGGATCATCTCAAAATTTTGCAGACAAGGTCAATAACATCCTTGACAAACAGCTGGGAAAAACCTGGGCTACCAATGCTAGCATTAAACACAAACATCAGAATACTTAGAAGATTCATGAAGAACATGTAAGCAACAGGTAGGAAAAAGACAGGAATACACGAGAAAGGCTGGGAAGGAGCATGCAACGGCAGTGCCTCACAGTGACAATACTCACTGTGGAGTTGACATAACTGGCAGGCTCCCAGGCAGGTGGCATGTTGGGAGGAGCATTCCAGGTGGAGGGACAGTTCTGGTCAATGAAGGCTGTGTTCTGCATTGCTGCAGTACCTGGGAAGCCACTGGGGTAGTTCATGTTCTCTGCAATTTATAAAATCAAGAAGACAAAGTAAGACTTATGCAATATAAAACACTACTAACATTTCTGTGGAGGAATGCTGAATCTTCTTGAGAGTGAGCCAGGCTGGGACTGACCTAATCCTTCAGTGACTCCATGCAGCGTCAGGGTAGCACAGCAGCGAAGTGTATCAATTTCTGTCAACAGGACTACCACTCTGTATTAGAGACCCACTAACAAATTGTTATCAGGAGGACAGGATAAAGACTTGGCAGTCCCTCTATTGGAGAGCAGAGTCTTTATTAGACAGAATGTGCATGGCAGAACCTCCCCAGGCCTCACCGCCAACATGTCTCAGCTCTAAGCACTCAAGGGATCAGAGTGCTGCCTGGGATTCTGCAGTCTGACCTTTCATTAGTACTTAGGTAGGTAATGCTAAAGAACTCTAGACTGCTGCCAGTGTGCTTCCCAAGCCAAGAAACTCTAGCCTGGAAAGATAATTGGTCACAAGAGGCCTTGTATTTCACACACTGGAAGGCTGAAGCCTGCCAGAGGGGAAACAAAGAAGATTGTACAAAAAGATATGTGTAATACTGTAAGCACAAGCATTTCTCTCAATTCCCTCTGGAAGTCCTGCATACTGCCTTTTCAGGCTCTATACAAAGGCCAATATTCTCATCCACCACATGCAGTCATTGTTTATTACTACAGAACACTCTGCTGGAAAACGTAAAGTTGAAAGCAATGAACATCCGTGTATAGAACAGCTCAACCTTTTGTTCTATAAAAGGTGAGAGGAAAACAACCATGCTCTGTTGTAATTAATAAGCTTTATTTCATCCTACCTTCTGGGAAAGCACCATATTCATTCATCTCTAGTGGACAATACATGTTGGAAAACTGGCTGTCACAAGCTGCATTCCAGTCAATGAAGCTGTCTCAAGAAAAACAAAAAAAATCTGCAGTCAGAAACAATTTGCAAAACTTCTGAAAATTACTTAGAAATACTTATTTATTGTAAAGCTCTTGGATGCAAAATGCCTGTAACTGATCATGAGGCTTTTCACATTCCACTTGTCAATTTTGCCAGTATCTACTCTGTGCCACTACACAATCACAGCAATCTCTCTCACAGAGTTCTTTTTCCTCTGGAAAAATGAACAACTTGTAATGCCGGTACCAGAATCCTGCAATGCTTAGCTGGGTTCAACTTTCTTCCCTGTTAAAAGAAAATAACTGTACTTCTTCCCTACAATCAAGTATTATGTGATTTGAGGTGGCAGAAGACGACGTAATACATTTGAATGCTTGAGAATAACAATTAAAATGGAGATTTCTATTTTCCCAACCAAATGTGCTAAAGTCCTGTTAAACAGTGCATTTTCTAAGATACACATAGATTTCTAGGGGTTATACTTCTTTAATTAAAATAATTTCAAGAAGATTTTTTCAAAAGTAATTCCTAAAGACATGCCAGTAATAAAATAGGCCCTGCTACACAGCAAGTCTGAAGTAGTCCAACTCTGGATCCAGTCTGCAAAAGGATTTCATAAGAAGCTGCTCTACTTCAATTTTACTATTCAGCCAAGCAGCTATCTGAAGTTATCACTACTAAATATCAATACACAATTGCACAGGTGTGCATGTATTTTTTGCTTATGAAGTCCAAATTGAGATAGGTGTATGAAAGCAGTCACAGAATGGGCAAGGCTGGAAGGGACCACAGTGGGTCATACGGTCCAGCCTCCCTGCTCAAGCAGGGCCATCTCAGAGCACATGGCACAGGATTGTGTCCAGAGGGTTGAATGTGAGAGATTCCACAATCTCTCTGGACCATCCACTCTGGTGTGTGGTCACTGCACAGTGAAGAAGTTCTTCCTCATGTTCAGTTGGAACTTCCTGTCCATCAGGTTGTGCCCACTGCCTCCTGTCCTGTTGCTTGGCACCACTGGAGCAGAGCCTGGCTCCATCCTCCTGGCACCCTCCCTGCAGACACTGACAGACATTGATGAGGTCCCCTCTCAGCCTTCTCAATGATGTACAGGCCCAGCTCCCTCAGCCTTTCCTTGTAAGAGAGATGCTCCAGACCCTTAAACAACTTAGTAGCTCTTTTCTGGACGTGCTCCAGGAGCTCCTGATCTCTGTTGCACTGACTGTGGAGTCCGGAACTGGACACCACTCCAGATGTGGCCTCACCAGGGCTGACAGGGGCCAGGATCACCTCCCTTGCCCTGCTGGTAATGCCCTTCCTGATGCACCCCACGGTACCACTGACCCTCCTGGCCACGAGGACACTGCTTGCTCAGGGACAGCTTGTTGTGCACCAGGACCCCCAGATACTTCTGTCATTTTGGATGACAGGATACAACTTGAAGAACTGGCCATATTTCACTGCTATGTGGTGGCAGAGTATTTCTGCTCTCTAGTTTGTGGCATATCTTTCATTACTAAAATTTGCTGTGTGAGCAGTGTAAAATATAAGAGCTAATCAAGTTCATTATTACAGGAAGATCAATCCAAATATAGACAGAGCCTGAAACATACCAACTTGTATTCCTAAACCACTTTCATAGTGGAATATTTGTCTTTATAACAATGTCTGTTCCTGCCACTTAACACAAGTACACACTGCATAACACACCATGTGGCATACGCAAGCTATGCATTTAGCAAGAGTGCAACAGATTTCAAAGTCAGGCCCTCTGCCTGCAAAATGAGTGAAAGCATTTAACAGCTTTCCAAAAGTATTTAATTAAACTTGAAAAAACTTCTAGAATATCTATACATGAACAGGGACAGCAGTGAATTTGTATTAGTAAAATTAATCACAATGTACTCATGGAAGAGCATTAACAACTAGAACTAAAACTGAAGTGGCAGAACAACTTTTATTTTAACTATCTGCCTTTACAAAAATGATGAGCAAAGTACAGTCCTCTGCATTACAGAAGCCTGAACAAAGCATTATCTGTACTTTTTACACAAAACATAACTTGCCTGTTGTGGACAGAGGGGGTTTCTTGGATCATGCATGGTATATTATTCTCAAGGTTGTAGTTCAAACTGTTTGTCATGCAGACTGGCTGGGCAGGCCACAAGTCTCCTGTTGGGTAAAGACCTAAAAAAGGAAAGGGGAATGAAATACAGAGTAACAGGAAGGAGACTCCAAAGATTCTATCACATAGACACTTTACTCTCAGATCCCTAAAAAGGACTGTCTACTAGAGAAAAAAAATCCAGAGATACTAAGCAATATTTTTGTGATGAAGGCCCGTCTTTAAACACATCTCAACATTTCTGTTTGTTAAAAAAGATGTATGTAAGACCTGAACTGAGAAACCAGAATTCAACAAAACAGGGGAAGAAGTTCCTACTGAGGGTCCTTAAGTGTTCAGCTGCCAGTGCCTAGATGGCACACTTCCACAGAGCAGGAGAAACAGCAGGGATGCAATCCCCACTGGCCTCCTTGCGCCCACCCCTTAGTCACTAGTCACTAATCACCTCTGAAGTCCAACTACACAAATGCAGCAGGAACGGGGTCAGGTTTCTAACAGACTGGAGCCATTCCTGAACAGACAATTTGTGAATTCATTAAATGTTGTATTTAGCCTCTAGCACAGATATTCATTGCGCTGCTCTTCATGGACTGCGTGCCCTGACTGCCCACAGATATTTGGTTCCTATCAACTCTGAGAACTGGCAGCTGGAGAAAAGAAAAAATCAAATTAGCAATTTCCATGAGACAATGCTTGCAAAGTTGTCTCTGTTTCATTATTTCACATGACACATATCAATATTGCTACCATGGAAGAAGGTTAATCAGCATTTGTATCCTATCAGACAGGTCAAACCTACAGCAGAAGGGCAGGGAGTGCTGCTGCCCAAAGAACCACATGTCCTGACCAGCTTTCAAACTCCACCTCACCATGTAGCATGATGCTTTTATGAATCCCACTCAAAAAGCTAATATTACTTCCCTCTGAGATACAAACAATGAAAACTCAAGAATTTTAACAGTGCCACACAACCTCACTCATTATTGCTGTCAAAGAGAGCAAGTCCCAACTGTGGATATTTAGAGAGAAAAATGGTCATGTTTGATTTGGTGCCAAGCTTCACTTTAACACAGCAAGCAGTGCTCTTGATCTCCCAGCTGCATTGCTTCTGGACATTAATCTGTGCACAGCAAGAAGATGAAAAAAAGAAAGAAGACCTAGAACATGAGTTGAAAGCTAAATGCTGTCTTGACGCAGAGAAGATGCAACAAAAAATATCAAGGTTATAAGCAAAAATTGTCAAGGTTTTAAGCCTTCATTTGCTAACTTTGCACCCAACTTGCTTAGAAGCAAGTAAGTTCTAGTAACAATGTGTCTATCAGGTTGGTGCATGTGTAATTAGCAACATCACTAAAACTGCTTGGCAAAGTGTGAAAAAAACAGCTCCAGTTGTTAATACTGACCTTTGTTTTTGTCAGGATCTGCAGCTATGTCAGTGAAATTGGGACATAAGGTCTCAGGATATGGGGGGATGCTGTTCATGTCTCTGCTGAATGAAAAGAAAATTTCATTTCTTAAGTCTCATAATCCAAACTATTTCAAAGGAAATATACAGAGATGTAGAAAACATTCTAATGACCATCACAACTGCTATTGTGCTATTGCTTTTCCACTGGCCTGATTCTTCCTATTTCAGAATTACAACTGTGCAATTTTTAAAAGTTTTTTTCCAATTAAAAGCCAGCTACTTATCACACATGCAAAATGAATGAAATTAATACACCTTAATTACCCCATTTTTATTATCCAGTTATCAACCTATTGCAAATTAATTCAACAGTTGTTCTCTAAAACTGGAAAACAAGCTGCAGTTCATGAACATCAGTAGGACCTCTTATAATTTTTGAACAACTTTCAGGTAAGTTTACTTTTATGTCCATGAAGACACACAGAGAACATGAGTGTGAATTTGGTATTTATCAAAGCCAACCCATCAAAAGAACTAGTCAAAACGAATAAAAGAAAACATTTTCAAGCACCAGAATCCCAAAGGACAAGGATTGGAATATTTCTCCTTGTGAAAACAGAGAGTGGTCAATGAGAAGTGAAATGAGGATTCACAGCAATAAAACTTGTAGATGCTATCTCTACTGCAGTAAAGAGGGAGAAAAGAATGTGGGGGAGAGAGGAATCAATTATCATGCTGTATATCCCATGAGAACATTATTCCCATTAAAAAAATAGCATCAACTTGAAAGTCTTATTCCCACCTTTTTTAAAAAAATACAGCTAAGCAGTAATGGAAATATAAGTTGCTAGGATCTGGAAGAAGTCAAAGTGGAAAACCAATTTCCATTTTTTTCCATTTGGAAGCTTTTATTGTACTTATGCAGCATAATCAATTTTGCTTATATCTTCTCAGGTACTGAAGATTATTCTTCTTCCAACTAGTAAGGACAATCAGATGATCATAAAAAATTACAAGATAACAGGTGCCAACAGGTATTATTTACCAAACTGAGACAAGACTTCCAGTTGGTGTTGTTTCTTTAATGCCTTACAGGTGTAGATTCAATTTTTTTACCTGGTATTGCAGATGTTATGAGACAGATTTAGAGTGATAGGAGTTTCAGATGGAAAATCATTTTGTGAAATATTCTCTCCTAAAGAAAAGAATGACTGTGAAAATCAAAGATCCTTAAAAAAGAAGTATGCACAGAATATACATCCACGCAAACAGGATTATCAATGGTGTTAATCAAGTTTTCTCTCATACTGGATTATCACTAACTGCATCAATTTCAAGGCATGCTACCTAGGTCCATAGTCTTAACATGTATTTTATGATTTAGAAGTGATTACCACAGTCTTGAAGGAGAGGTTCCTTGTTACTATCAAATATGGTCTGAATTTAGAATTACTTATTTTCTTTTTTCTTAGGAGGCATTATAATTTGAACAAACAGGAGAGTCATATACACATGATTTGTTATCTATTAAATCACAGGTTCAGACAGATCACACACTATCATTAAGAAGTGTAAAGTTTTATACATACACAAATAGACATGAAGTTTCTGGATATTTTTAAATAATTCAAACCATCTTTTTGCAAGTACCCAAAGCTGGGTTTGCTGGTGTCACTTTAGTACTTTAAAATTTACTTCTAGTGCCACATCACTCTGGATAATTATGGCAATGACTTTCAACTACTTTAGTGATATTCAGGTATTCAAGAATTGCAGTAAAGAAGCACAGCTCCCATTTTTCATACTAGTCAAGTGGCTCAGGTGTTCTGGCTATTTACACCTCAAATACACCTATCCAATCCCAGCTCCTCAAATCTGAACTGCTTTCACACATTTCTCATTTGTGCATTACTTAAATAGTTTTAATGTTAAAAATCCCCAAATAATGTGATGAATCAAAGGCAGAAATTGCTTTGGCTATTCTGAGTGCCTCTTAGTTCTCCCATCCTTCCATGACAACTAACTGTGCATATTGCTTATTGAGGAGCCTGACAGTGATCTTCATCTCCATGAAATGTGTGTACTTCTTGTCAGGTACAACAAAGTTCTTTACATCCCTCCTTGTGTGTCTAAGGGGTGCTCTACAAAAGACGAGTTCATGTGCCCCATGCTGTGGTAGGCCTTTCCAATCAGCAGGAAGCCTAAAACTGTGCTCTACTGTGAAGAGGAGCTGTTTGCAAAACTTACTGGATGGAAGAAAATGCCTGGTAGTAATCATTGGCTTTTTATCTCCATCTGAACTGCTGGTACTGCTCCAGCTACCCCAGCTCCCTCGACTTGCACGAACGCTTCCTGACGAACTTCCACAATCTGAGCTTGAATCAGAACAAAACTTCTCCAAACACTTCTTTTTGGACCGCTGATAAAAGTTTTCTAAAAAGTTGGGAAAAACAAAACAAAAAACCAATCAAAAAAACAACACAACATTTAAGAAAGTCTTGTCAGGGAAAAGTAATCTGAATCACAAATTTACATGGATTCTCTGAATTTACTGATGAGAGAAGAAATATTTGCTGGTAGCTTTGGTAACTAGACCAGCCCCTAACATAAGGAGTTTCTGATGTACATGATATCCCAGTAACATGAATGCAGTGATGATACAGTGCTGCTACAGGCCATAGGTTCAAAGAGGAAGTGCATACTGTCCTTTGAAATAAATACATTATACTTCAGACATGAAACATATCCTGGCTGTAGGAACATGCATATGATAAAATGGTGCAAGTAATGAATTCATAAGTGATAGATTCTCTTATTATCTTAGAGATGCAAAGGACAATCCTATAGAAATTGATAACTTTCTTCAGATCTCCTCTTCCCTAAAGCCAGGGAAAACAGATGATTAAAATCCTGATGGAAAGGCAGGAAGCAGGTATCCAAGCTTTATTTGAACACAAAACCACACTACCAGTCTGTCTTTCCTTCACCAAGAGCTGATGGATCATTGCTTCAGACTGATTCACTTTCTGGTCTGCACCATGAACCAACCCCATGGAGAAGCACGCAGAGCCCTTCAGAAGTGAGCAGCTATTATTTCGGGCACTGTGTCATACCAGTCCTGTCATCTTCACATCAGAGTTAAAAGGGAGAAAAGCACAGGTCTCTCAAGTAAGGAATGCTCTACTGCCACAAAATTCACATTGTGTTTCTTTCCCCATTTTAAGATAATTAAGACTGCATACCTGTTTCTCCCTGTATGGACAAGTTCCCAGCTTTTTGGTCTGCTTTACAATTTTCCCCGTTGTTCTGAGGACACCAGGCTCTTATTCCAATATTCGCTCTCAGATCCGGCCTTTCAAATTCACTGCACATATGCTTCAATTCACTCTGCTCAGGGACCCTAATAGAACCACACCCCAAAAAAAACCCATGTTTGCATTTCACATTTCATCTGCAGTTTTCCTTTCCAGGCATTAAACACTTCAACTCACACAGCTATCAAGGCAAAGTGCAGGGGAAGCAGTAGGTTTGGGACTCTTATTCCCCAACTTTACAGAAACCTAAAAAACCTTTCACAAAATGCAATATCCTACCACACAGACTACTACTGCTCAGGGGGAGAGGCAAAATGACATGTGCATATTTAATTCCATTCTCTAATGCACCTGGCAGAAGGCAATCAGATGTTGCAGTGATAAGCACACTTTAGCAGTGTACAAAGATCTAGATGCAAAGAAAAATGTGCCCTGTGCTCATTTCACTGGCACAACTATAACTAGAGTAAAATCCCAATCTGGAGCAATCTTATCTTTTTGCTAGTAAAGGTGGAATGAAATGTCTACATCCAATACCATAATCAGAGAGTACTGAGGGAAAATGATTAAAAGTCAGCTGTCAAATTTCTGCAGAAATGGAACAGTTCCATCTTAACTCAGAAAGCAGCAACTGCTGAATTGGTTCAGGGAACAGACACTAAACTTCAGTATTTCACTGCTTATTTTTTATCCTTCCTATCTACAAAGGTGTGCATCCAGCAAAGATTTACACATGCACCGACTTCCCACAAAATGAACAGAAATGTGTGTATAACAGCCCTTTCAGATTTACAATCTCCTTTTAGAGTCCACTGACCTCAATAGAAGCACTCGCAATAAAAATTAAGTCTGTGAAGGCTTTGTAGCATTGTGACTTTAATTCAAAGGGCTGGGGGAGGGGAAGGCATAGGATTTTCTCCTCAGTAGTGTTTCTATTCTAAAAGGAGTTTGTAACCAGTATTTTTTAATAATCCATACAAGTTAAATTTAAAATATATTAAAAAAATAATTAAAAGTAATTTACAACTGACTTTAAAATGCATTAACACAAATCTCAGGGGAAAAAAAACCCTAACTTTCCACAGTGCTCACTCAATATTCTTTACAATCTAGTGCTGATCTAGTTTAAATCATAATAGCAAAAATGAAAGCCACACTCTCATTTCTACACATTTCTCTCCCAAAATTGGTAGAGGACAACATCCCCCCAGTTACTCAATATAGCAGATGATTCTCCTGAAGGTGGAATAATTTCAACAATTTTATTTTCCTTTTTTCAGTGAAGAGAACACATGACTAGAACTTCTCCAGACACTACACAAGGGGAAGGAAGCTAACCATCCAAACTTCAGAGACAGCACATTCCAGACTCTAACAGAGAGCTACCACTGCTATGCAGAATGGGCTGCATCTATCTACATGCAGATTTACACATGGAATATTTTAAAATTTTTTGTTTTGCTGGTGATATTTAGTAGTGCACATTCCTAAAAGTAAATGCTCAGGACAGGATTAATGTGTGTTTACTTAAATAGATAAACTGATCCTGCCTAATGTATTATGCAAAATCTGCAGAAACATTACAGCAACTCTGGGTTTCTTCATGATTTGGTGAGGCAATACATACCTTGTGGATATATTTACATTCTTCTTCTTATTTTTCCTAGATGTTCTATTTCTATTCCAATTCATATTTGGTATATTTCCTTCCATTTTATCCTGAGGCTTCTTCTTTCTATATGCATCTTCTTGCTAAAGGCAAAAATACAAGCTGAGACATTGTAAAATGAACTTAACTTAGTCAATGAACTCCACTGGATTTTTCTAGCTAAGTTTCTCTGGACAGAATGGCCTGACCCAAATGCATAGTTACTTCATGATTTAGTAGCTTTCCACAGCACATCCTCTTTCCAGCACCATCACTTTAACCAGCCTTTCCAAGACTCTGTTCATCAAGACAGCAAGAGATGATGAGATAGGAATTTCTGAATTCCCAAACTTAGCATTTTCTCTTTCACAGCATCTAGCTCTGACTTTCAGGGAAATAAAAAAATGGAGGGAGAAAAAGTAAAGCAGTCAATAAAATTCCCAATGTGCTAAAAACAAAAAACATCTGCCAGATTTATGATCAGCTGGTGTGCAAGTTCAGCAGCAATAAATCCTCCCTTTCCTCAGCAACTGGGGGCAGTGGGGGAAGGCATTCATTTGAATTACAGCTGAGGAAATTATGGAGTAAGTTACCAGCAAATACTAGTCATTTCAAGAAATGCAAGAAACAAACTGAGCACCATCAGCCACATGGGCAAAGAAGTTTGTAACAACAATTCCCAAAGCAAGACAAGACCATGTCTTTTCTCACATATTCTCCAAGCAATGTAAGCAATTCTTCCTTACACCTTTTTGCCATGGGATTTATATCCAGTACACAGAATATAAACATAATCCAGATTCTCAGGTTCACTAATTGCCTGATAAAGTTCTTTTAGTGTTTTATGCTGCCTGCAACAAAGGTACAGTCTTGATGTGTTATCATACTCAGAAACTAGGGGTGAAGAACGATTCTTCTCAGCAACTGCATAATCTGCTAAAGGGCTTCTGCCTGCTGTACTCCCAAATGCAAGTTTCTGATGCAAAGCCCTGGGTTTGGAGATCAGGTCTGCAAGTGAAGGCCAACATGCCCACTTCCCCTGCAGAGAATGTTCCCACATCATTAGTGTGGCTGACAGCTGGCATTAGATTCCAGTATGCTTGTGCCTGCTCTAACAGTAACAATCTCTGGCTGTGATATGGCTGTTTTGATTTTTACCCAAGCTGTTCACCATTCCACAAAGCAGCATGAATACACAATGGATGTGGGACAGCACATTGCACTCTTCCTCATTCATCTGATTTACAGCATTTCAGGTCTGTGACTCTACAAAATAGTCCCTACATACACATACATATCTATAGGTATATATATATGTACATAAACTATAAAAAGATAATTTCAAATTTGAAAAGGAGAAAGATCACAATACCAACCTCAGAAGAAGTAATCTCCTCTTTTGCACAGCATGGAGTCTCTTCCTTGGATCCCTTACTAATCTTTTTCTCTGTGGAAGGCTTTAGGTTGATCTGCTTTTTTGAAGTCTCGCAGTTTTCTGTTTCATTCCTGAGAGGCACTTGCTGGCTATTCCCTACAATTAAACAATAACAACTGTTTGCATGGGAAGAGAAGGGAAGAAAGGTATGTGGTCATAACCACATACCTTTCTTTAAAAACAGCCTTGTATTGCTTTCCAAAACACAGGAGACTAATGTCTAGGCTGATGATACTGGAAAATTTTAAAACCAAAAGCTAATACAATGTAAAAATTGTATTAGCAGCTGCAAAAAGTAGCTTTGTGCTGGTTCATGGTCATGAGCACACCACTCCCAGTGCACACAAAGATTACACAATCTCATCTCATCTCTGCTCATCTCATCTGAATTTGAGCTACTTGGTAGAATTTGAAGCTAGAGAACACTGGGTTAAAAAACAAAGAGGAAAAAAACCCTGCAAGCTGACTAGGGAGAAAGGACAGCCTTTACTTGGTGCTTGACACCTCAGAAGTGTCCTCTGCATTCACTGTGAAGACAAAGGGAAGTCATCCTTTCTTTAGCATGGGTTCCACACTAAAAGTTCTTTTACTTGAGAGGCTTATGAGGAAGAAGAATTATTTTGATCTAAGAGTCCAAAAGATGAAAGATTCAAGAGGAAGCCTGCCTCAACAACTAGCTCAGCTGAGTCACACTGCTCTGCCTGGGCCAGGACAGGACAGAATTCACTTTGCCTCTGATTGGTTACAGGTATCTCAGAGACCTGCCCTACATCCACAGTGGTCTGCTACCAAGGCTTTCAGCTGCTCTGTGTAAGAAATGTCATCATTTACTGAACTGAAGTGGCCTTCTCAACAGGGAAAAGCACACCCAAATGTTTTTACAGTTTCCTGCCAACCAACCACAACACCCCAGCTCTGAGTCAGATACCAGCTCCCCTCTGGAGCACATGAGAATGAAACACCAGGCGAGGGAGAGTGCCAGAGCTCTAAAGAATGCTCTGCTGCTCTCCAGCATACAAACATGTGAGTACCTGAGGTCCTGAACTCCCTGCTTGCACAAAACCAGTTCTGTAATGATAATCAAAGTACAAACACTGCAACATGGTACTTTTTAGACTTAACACATCCTACTAAATGTCTTGAAACACAGAAATATCACATGCCTGATAGTGCAGAAAGCCACAACTGCTAATAGACAACAAGAGAGATTACCTTTAGTGCTTTACTACTGAATATAATGAATTATCTCCTAATTCAAAGCAAAGAATAAGCAACAATGCATTTTAGGAGCATATGACGAATACCTCAAAATACTCATATTCAAAATATATCTCAAAATACCTTGTAAGAATGAGTGAAAATATCTTGCCTTCACCTGAGCTTGCACGCTTGTATCTGTTATAGCTCACAGGTAACAACACAAGAAGCAACAAGCCCATGGTAGCAACTAAATAAGACAGCAGGGCCTGAAATCCCTCTCTGATGGCTCACTCCCTAAATAAACTGCCACAGTTACAGCAAATGCCAGTTTTCACCATTCAATTACTTTGCCAAGTGCCTCAGTAAAGCCAAGCTTCCAGAGGATACATTCTCCTGTCCTGCTTTTGATTTCTCCCAGGTGTACTTCTGCTGTTCTTAAAATTTTGAATTGTGAAGCTAAGAGGTAAGACTTCCCAGGCAACCTAGCCTCACAATTTCAAAAAAAGAAAAACAAGATAAAAAAAATACAGCTATGCAATTACTGTGGAAAACACTGATTTGCAGATTCTTACACAATAAAAGTTCACACTACCCTGATAAGGTTTTCCTTATTTTGGGTGGTTTTATCGGAGGAGTTCTGAATATCTGCTTCTGACTGTGCTTGCTTGGTGATTCAACCACCATATTTTCAGTGGACCTGAAAATAGCAAACTGGGATCCTTCCGAATATCTGACAAGGGCAATTTGTGTCTTATAAGCAGATCTATGACATCAATTATTTTAGCAGTTTAAATGCTACAGCAACAAGCTTGAAATTTGTAAACCAAGCAAATTTATGATTTATAAAACAACTTTAAATGTAAGCTGCTTCCTTGGGAATGTAAACAGACAAATCACAGTGAACACATAAGAAACACCACAATTTCCTTGTCCTACGCAAAAGACAAAATCCTGATCACAGTGAACTCATCAGAAGATTTCACTTAGTAATTTAGACTGATAGAATTTGAGAAAAAATTACCGCTAGTTTTCCTTATTTCTTGCAGTTCTGGCTGTTGTTGAGGTGAATTTCTGGGCAAGTGACTTTCAGGTAGCTTCTTGGACATCTTCACAGAACAGAATTCCTGTTCTTTGTGCTCAGCTAGATTTTCTGAAGTTTTAAGGTTAGTTTCCTTAGGAAACATACATGTTTGAAGATCTTCCTTCAGATCACACTCTGAAGAAGTATTTTTAACGAGAACTGTATTTTTCAGTGCACTTTCTTCTTTACCCAGAAAGTCTTCTGGAAGAGTTAAATTCTTGTTGACGTTTATGCCATTTGCATATTTCAGAGTTACCCAGTTCTCACGGACAACATCAGTGCAAATGTCCTCTTTTGGTGCTGAGGTTTGGTTCTCTGCAATCTGATTCTGTTTCTCATCAGTAGCTGCAATGGCACTGCCAGCTGCTGTGTTTGGTTTCTGCTTACTGTAGTAAACTGAACATTTGTGTTTCTTCTGAGAGTGGCTGTAGGTCGCAGGACTTCTCTTTGCCGCACTCTGACTTCGGCTGGAAGAAGTGCCTACAGACAGGAAGCCCTTCCCTTTACCTTTATCTGAGGAACTATAGGAATCCATAAATGTCTTGCAGCTTCCCCTTGAGGGAAAAAAAAAAAAAGGGATTTGTTTTTCTTTACAAAGCCATCATGAATTGTTTTATGAGATATTGTTGTAAGAAAAGAAAGGGGGGCATATTCACAAGCCATGAAATTGCTTTAGGTCTTTAATTTACCATACCAGCTAAGCACATTCTGATTTCAGTGAGAATTGAGCAACACTCTAAGTATTTGCTCAGACTTCCAACACACTTACATGCTTCAATGAGTAAATGCCTGACTGACGACTCAAGAGGGTCAGATTGAGAACCATCAATGCATTTTCCATTCTCTCCATGGCTGTCACACCTGGTGTATCCTTTACTTTCATCACACAATTTTTACCTTATGTATTACTCGCAATATTCAAGATTAATAAACCCCTGAGTTCCTCCATTCCTCCTAGTTTGAGGTGGAAGTTCTCTAAAAAAGGCCGCTTGGAACACTTTAAACCAGCACACAGCAATATCAGTGAGGGTCAGACAGAAAGCACCACTCCACAATAAACACAGTAGAAAAGAAGAAAAAAAAAGTATTTTTACTTGTAGGAATCAGAGCTGATTATGTCAACAGAGTTGCTGTTCTGCTGTGGTGAAGCACTAGGATTTGGCCTCTGTCTTGATTTCATGAACTCTGCTAGAATATACTGGGCTTGCTGGAAGGCTATCAGAATCACTCCAAGCAGGGACAAACTGCCAAAGAAAACAATAGATACTGGTATCTACAACTTTCAGGAATATTCAGTGAAAAGGTTAAAAAGCTTCTAACAAGATACACTTCTCAAGTATTTTTTCGGTAAATTCTACATAAAAAGACATACAAACTCAAAACACAGCCTTAAAAATGATAGTTGTAATAGTATTTTCTTTTCCTTTTTTTCCTTATAGGCCTTACTAGTCATTAGCTCGATAAAATAACTCACTCATGAACTTAAAAAAAAAAAAATAGAACAAAGAAAAAGCTCATTCTAAAAGAGATAGTCCTTGAAAGTAATTCAGAAGTAACTGTGTTGTAGTCTTACATCATATCATATTATGATGCATGACATCATATCATAATATGACCTATCAGCCCACTGTTCATTTATGATAGACATCATCATTATTTAGGTATTTATTAAATACTGTTTCTTTCTTTTCCTAGAGAAAATGCTGGCATAAAATGAGCTATAAATGCCATCATACTTCTGAACTAAAAATTTAGATGTAAAATATCCTCTCTCTCCACGGTGTACTAATTGCATCAAACATATATGGATCAAAACAAAAATCTTTCTAATTCATCAAACCACCATCTCAATCATGTAGTGTAAATTTTGTTAGCAGGAAAACAGAATGAAAAAATCCTGGTTTTTCAGATCCCTGTAATCTTCTGTTGCATCTAGAAGCAGGCAAAGTGGTCACTGCTGTTACTTCATTTGTGTTCTGACTGTTTCCAGAGTCCAAACCACACAAGCAGCAGCACAGTGTGCAGGGGGATCTCAGTCAGGGATGCATCAGCCCATGTGTGTTATCACCACGGCATTCACATGCACTGCACCTTGTGGGAGCTCTGGGGCGCTGTGAGGAAAGCCTTACCTTACAAAGAGGACAGTGAGCCTCCAGAAAGACTCTTCCCAGCTGGGCCCTGGCACCACATCCGCACACAGCGGTAGCAGATGGTGAGGGAGGGTCACGTTGAGCGTGAAGTGGAACTCCAGATCAGCAGCAGTCACCAGCGTGAGCTCACGAATTACCCATGAAGATGTAAAGTCAGGAGTGAATCTGTCAGGAAAAACAGAGGTGGTGTTACTTTTTCATTGTTTGGCTGAATTTTACTTTCTGAAGTCATACTGATAACAAAAATACAAACAATACGATGATGACAACAGGAGCAACAATAATAATAAGAAAAATAACTTAATAAAATTTACCAATAATTTAATAGCATTCTTAAAATTACTAAAATATTGCCTCATTATTACTATGAATTATCAATTTATTAATCCAGTAATAACTGTTTAGTTATATGAAATAATATTATTTAATAATTTTTTTAAAGTACACTTAAATTAAGTGTCCACTATCTGCTTAAACTGTGCAGGTGGCATTAGGTCATCTTAAAGTAGCAAAATATGTGGCTTTATTGTGACTCTTCACAATACTCTTGTTACTGTGACATGTTTTCCTTTTATCAAGGCAATACACATAATCAACTCAGGTTAATCAACAAAAGCACAGCTGCCCAGCATACAGCCAGCATGATTTCAGAAAGGGCCAGGTACTAGGGTGCAAAGCTGGAAAGATACAGAAAGCAGAAGAAACACCAGATTTGTCTCTTCTACTTCCCTGACCCATCTCAGTATTCTACTTGATTGCTAGAAGGTATAACTTGCCTTTCTAATCAGTAGAGGTGAAATCTGTTGTATGGGAAACCACAATTACTTTACTACAGTAATATTACTTTTGCTTAAGTCACAGTAGTATCTTTCACTCAAGGATAGTTTAAGAAGAATCAGTTTTAGACTATGTGCAATGTTGGGAAAACATGACTAGATTGTGGTCAGGCTACTTGGAACAAGCTTAGAGAATAACAAGCAAATAAAAAATTGTGGCAACTGTTTTGTTTTAATTTATTACTTCATAATGCACTGATAAAAGCATGTATGCTGCTTTTTAAAAATAATGGGTCATATAAAGGACCAGTATTATATAATCCATTCGTTAGTGTTATCCTGAGGGAAATGCTTACTAAATTTCTATTCAAAATTTTGTGTGTGGTATGCCATTGGAGTGTCTGTTTCTGAAATTAATTATTTCAAATTTCCACTTCAGTTATTTTGTCAACAAATTTGTCAGTGCTTACACAATGCTGATTTCTCGTGATGAGTTTTGAGCTAGGAAAAATTCCCGACAGTCTAACACTTCAAATCCATATCCTTGGCAACTGTAACCATTGATTTTCATTGATGAAATTGTTATAGGAAGAGGCCCAATATTCTCTACTTTGAAGTTCTTCGTAATGGATAGAATTTGCTTGCTGTCTTTCAGTTCTTAAAGGAAAAAAGAGAGCAATTAGTTTACAGTGCATGAAATTATTTTCTTACATTCATAAATAAATTGCTATTTTTACTTACATTGAATAAAAAAACCCCATAAGTGACCAAGATCTAATACAGACTATTCTGCAGTAGTGTATTTCTAAAACTTTTAACTATTTTCAGTCAGAGTTTTGACAAAACAGAATCTACACTTCTCACGGCCAAACTCTTCAGCTTTGACCATTCTGTTTCTGTAACATGAATGTTCTGTATGAGTTCCAGTGCAGAGCAAAGCAGGCAGCTGCACAAGCAGAGACCTGTGTCTCCTTACTCACGTCGTCTGCAGTCCATTAGTGTCGCTTCTGGCACCTTAAACCGAAGGGATCCTCCTGCACCTGGGAGTCTTCCCCCCACTTTAAGCAATTCTTTGGCTCCAAAGCCTTCTACATTGACAACATCCAGAACAGTTAAGTTGTTTCTGCCATAAAATAAAAATCAAGCAGTCAGCCACTAAAGCACAAATTAAGTTTGCAAAGTCATGGCTTTGCTCTCTAGGTGCCAAACCAAGATAACATTGTGTTAGAACAGAATCAGGGGCAAAACCTAGACAGTTTTCTCCTAAACAGAGACAGGATCACTCCAGAACCAGCCCCTAGTGAATTTCAGACAGTGAAGGGGCAAGTTTAGTGACCAGTGCCACTAGAAAACAACTGTGTCACCTAGTGAAAATGGTTGCTTCTTCAATTAATAAACTCCCTTTTCCTACAAAGGTAACCAAAGTTTGGCTGCATAAAAGACTCACTGGATCCACAACTGCTATCATTATTCAGTCAAGCTGAAAACAGCAAAGCTATACAATGTGTTTCTCTCTTAACGCAAAACTGCCTCAGTACAGTCACATGCATTTTATAACCCTCTGACAACATATCAAGAAAATTAATGACTCAGACATAAGGCACAAACACACTCTAAGCAATTTTTATTAAACCAGAGGTATTCTGACTTTCAAATTTTGAGCATTTGTCTATGTGCCAGGACTTTGCAAATTCATTTTTATATTGAGCTGCTTGATTCTCGCTTACAACTAAAATTTGGCTTACCTGATTAAAATAAGGGAAGCTACTCTTTTGTAATCAAGAGGTGTAAAAATTACACCAACTTTTCTGGTTTCCAGTGGCTGTAAACTTAAACAAAGCATCTCAGAACTGCATTTCTTGCTGATGAGGTCCTCTTGATGTGCATTCTGTTAAACAAAAAATGCATTTCTTACTCACAGAAAATATCTGTGTTTAAAGATGTCAATAAAGAAAGCACTGTATCACCACTTAGCACCACACAGAATATTTCTGGCAAGGTGCAGAAACTGCTAACTAACTCGTTATATCCAAGTCTTTCCTTTTGACAACATAAAACATCAGATAAGATTGTTTATTTGAGCAAAAGTTCATATTACTGCACTTATTATTATGAAGAACGTATTACTTCATTATTTAAAACAGCTTTTATTTCCTCAGATGGAAAAGAAATTATATAGTGTCTTGCATATTCAAGAAATCCTGAAACACTTCACAACACAAGAACTGAAGTGTATTGATTGCACAGGGAAATGTGGCAACCATTATACCCTCAGTGCATGACTTACAACTTGATTGAAGTGAGAAAGGGACTGCTGGTAAATATGCTGATAATTTGAGTCACTGGAAGGAAGCCAAAGAGAATTCTCAACTATATTAATTGAAAACCAGAACTACCAGAAGTTCACTTAGTCTGGAAATAATGTAAATTTTCTTAATACTGTTGTTTATTCTTTGTGCCTTTGAAAAATGAAAATAGTCCTATAACTTGCTCTTCCAGGTCCCCTCTTAGAAAGGGGTGATCAGATACCTATAGCAGTCAAAAAAACCATAATGATTGCAAAATGGGCTCTCACTTGGTTGTTTCTCAGTTTATGGGTGTTGTACTAACAGCTTTTCTATCTTTTTCTGTTCAAAATGTTTTTATTCTTTGTCTATTTTATGAAAAATACTTCACAAAAACTATCAGAACCTGCATTTAATAATCAGTATTTATTAAAAGCAAGCCATGTATGGTGTTTGCAAACTTCCCCATGTTACTCCCTACAAAGATGAGCCTAACAATTCACTGCATATAAACTGACTAGGAAAATGACGTCAAATGCAAAAATTTAAATATTAGCAACTATTTATTTGGTTAACAACGCAAGATCTGTCTCATATGTGCTGAAAATCTACCTAACCATGCATGTTCCCCCTAGCTCTTCAAACCTAATGAAAACCATGTATTGCACACACTGATGTGAAGATCCACAGCTATTTTTCCATTTGGCCAAGAGTACGGTGTGTGGGACTGTGGAAGCTCACTCCTCCCCCTACACTACCGTCCCTTTTTCAGAGTGTGCCTACAGGCTAGGATTTATAAACTGCTGTCTCCTCTCTTTTACAACAACTCTTACAACTGTTGCCAGAAAGGAAAGGTCAGCTTTGATTAGTGCAGCAAACATACTCTTTTCCTTTTACAAGGTACAAGTATTTCATTAAGATCTTAAAGCATATGTGCAGAAACCTGTATCTATACAGGACATTAAAGATGAAGCTGCAGTATGCCCAAACAGCAAGGAAAATACATTAATTCTGGCTTTTTGTAGAAACCAGAAGTCTTAAGAAGAGATCCTCTGGGTATTCTGGACAGTACTCTGGTCACCAGAATAGGCCAGCATCCCTGATACAGCATTTTCTCTGTCATCCATGACACAACATCTCAGGGTTTAAGCACAGCTCAGCACTGGTGTGCCATGGTCAAGTGCTACCCACACTCATTCAAAAATGAGGCAATGGGAACCAGAGAGAACCATGACACTCCAAACCTGAATCCAGAAGTTGCAATGGCATGAAGCTGATATGTAGAAATCCCAGCTCCTCCTCCCATGAACTACCTGACACTACTTCCCTGTTCTGAGCAGAGAACCAGCCCGCTCCTGACATCACTGACTCCACAGCCTGACACTTCATGGTCAGCCTGGAGCCAAGGGTGAAGCCCCAACAGCACATCCACCCACTTGCAGGCATGCATGCACTTCCTCCCTACAGCTGTACTCAAAACTGACCCAAATCCTGAAAATAATTAACTACAAAGATACAAACCTGATGAAGAATCAAGAAAACACTGTGAAACTGCTTTAAATTGCTCTTGGGAAGAACCCAGGAGTAACATAGCTAGAAAAATCCTTCTCTAGTGTGTCAGACCACTTCTACCAAAATTAGCCATCTTACCCTGTGAGAACATTCATCCATTAGCCTGAATTCGGTGGTTGTGAAGTTGATAGCTTGCACATTTATCCCGAACCTAAATAAACCAAAACAAAAAGTTAAGCATTTGAAACCCAGCCTGTCAGAACTGCTTTGACTTATTTTTACATGCTGGCATCTATTCTTAAATAGAGACTACTTTTACAATTGCATTTTGGCAGTGTGAAACATGGTGGAAATGTGGGTCTGCATTTCAAAAGAATACGCTGCAAATCAGTTTTATGTGGATTACACATATTTGGAAAACAGACAAATGGCTGGGCATTTTAGGTCTGCCAGTGTAGAATATTGTAAAAGATAACAGTCAAGAAATAGAATTTCTAAGCCACACAAACACAAATTCCCTGAAACTCTTTCTGCTCACATAACTGTTAAGAAATAATCATTATTAAATCTCATATAATTTATTCAAAAATCCCTCTTTCTGTTCATGATTTGTTTGGGACAAATTCCTATTTTCCATCACATGATGCGCAAATCAAATTTACTTAAAACAATTGATTTGTTTGTCCAAATGCAAATTATAAGCATTTGACATCAAGCATTAAAAACCAACATAAGAAAACCAACACATAAAATGTAGATTATAGACGAATGGACCTCCAGCCACTGAATGAAAACTCACTTGTCATAACTATCTATGACATTAGGTTAAAAAGAACCAGTTAATGGATGTGATTTCTGGTGAAGTTAGAAGATCTGCAGAAACACAAGTGTGCAAATACAGAGAAAATGTAATTGCAAACCACTAGAAAGAGTCTATGTGGAAATAATATTTAGTATGCAAACAGATGGAGTTATTAATGTGCATATATATATACACAGACATATATATGCACATGCATATACCTATGTAAAGGAATGATGTTAAGGAAGCAATTACACAGGGATTGGGACCCCAAATAAGCAAGATACACCTAAGCACAGGAGTAATCCCACTGTCTCTAACCACACACACACCTACCAACTATAACATTTTTTCAAAGATAAGTGTGACAGGGCTTATTTTGGTGAGCTTCAGTTCACTCACCAGGTTCCTTTATTATTAGTCTAACTCTCCTCTAGATTTCTCATTAGATCATCATCTCAAATCTAAAACAGAAGGGCTAAAACAATGCAGAAACATTTACTTAGCTGACCCTAAATATTTATGCTGAGGTTGCTCCCTCTGAATCTGCATTTTGCTTCCCAGTTTCTGTTTCCTCTTTGACCAGGGTTATTACCTAAGAAAAGACTAAGAAGAAAACTCTTCTCTGGGATGGTTCAGATACCTTCTTTTCACTGATCTGTCTACAGACTCTACAGATACCAACCAGCACTGTGAGGAGATGCACAAGCCCAACCCTGTAAGCTGTTCACCTCACCCGGGCAGCTTGCACTAAGCCTCAGATACTAGAAGATTAACAACTATAATATATATCTGGCAGACACAAATTTGCTTAAAACATGTTAAATTTGTGTTTTATCAATGATGAGGTACACCACAAAGGCATGCACCATACAGGGAGCTGCCCCAAACAAGGCTCTGTCTTCCAAAATGGGACAGAACATAAGCCCCATCTAAGTTACACTTTGAAAAACTAAATAAAACCCAATAAGCAACAATCATAAGGCATAGCAAATAAGATCTTTTAAAAGGGAAAACAGTATCCTGAGATAGTTATTACCATTTGTTCAGCAGACTCAGTGAAGCTTGGGGATCAGGGTAGTAAGAAAGAGGCAGAAGCTGCAACGTAACTGGGAAGGATGAAGGGTTTCTTAGTACGAAATATTTTACCTAAATAGTTTGGAGGGGAAAAGAAAGAGTTAAAAACTACATATTTGAGAACTGGTTGGTAAAATAATTCAACAATAGCAATACAATCTGCATTTTCAAGGGACTTCAATCTGGCTTTTGTGTCAATGCAGTATAATCATACATGCACATGACTGCATGTAACAGCAGGACATGTCACCACAATGTCAGAATTTGCAAAGTCAGCTAAGAGTGCATTTTGAACCACATACACAAAAATACAGACCACCCCCAGTGTCCAAACAACTCTTTCATTTGGATTTTGATTTATGCAGACAGATGTGAACAAAGCTCTAGCACAGAAGAAAGTTAGTGAGGTGCCACCCCATCTTAGAGAAGTCTGAATGCAAGCAGGTTATAAAAATTTCTGTAATGACTAACAATTAAATTGGACAAATGGAATATTAAGGTAATTCACAATATGTGCATATGAAAACTATTTCCATATGACTGGTTCTGGCCTAGGCTAGGTTAGCAGAAACCTAAATCTGACAAACAAGAAAGAAATAACTGTCAGTGTGGCTGGAAGATACATTGCTCTGCAAGTGTTGTATCTCTCATAAATGTTTTACACACCTCTGTTAGACAAGACAGTGGCATGAGGAAGGCCATCCTGTACAGCCTTGCATGCATCACTAATGACAACACACCCTATCCCTAGTCCCATGCTCAATTATTTTACCACAAGCATGTAACTTATATAACAAACACAAGGAAAGTTTAACAACAACAACAAATTGTTGGTTAAAACTTACACTGCTTTATTCTTCTCCTTGTACTAAAGTATTACAACTAGCAATCTAGGAAACTTACCAAAGAACCAAAGAGATACAAATTTAGTGTCTTAACTGAGATCAAAACATCAGTTCATAAGCACTATGAAAATGTAAGCAGCACCAAATATTAACCACAGACTTTGTTATTTAAAAAAGCTAAATGCACAACTCAGAAAAAAGTATAGTAACAACCATTCTCACCATGCTACTTTTAACAGCTGTGGCATTAAAGTTGAGTGTAAGGCCAGGCTCTGTAGTCAACCGTGGCAAGAAAAAGGCAAAGGATTCCTCTTCAGAGTTCTTCTGCTGAGTAAAGCGAGCTGATCCTAAAATATTTCTCCTGCTTTATTGGCAAAAGCAGAAAACTTAATTAATTTCTTTTTTTTTCTTTCAAACAAAGAACTACAAGATGATTTGCCAGGATCTGTAACTGCATTAATTTATCTTTCCTTGGAAATGGTCTCTACAAAATAAAGTCGATAAAGCTGTAGCTTAACAGCTAACTTTTGTGTATGTAGGCCAGGGACTAAAAACCATGAAAGCCATTCAAAGACCCTGAGAAGACTGCTAAGACTGCTATACAACCTGATGATGAAGGACTCATGCAACTCCATAAATGAGCTGGTAAAACATGCTTGGACTGCTTTCATGCCAGGTAGCCCTGGTGAGATAACTAGAGTCAGAATATTATTTACATTTTGGGCTGAAAAGCTTACTTGTGGCTGGCAGTGCCTTGAAATGAAAGCTGGGGGAGTCTGGGGTGCTCTGAAACTCCATGTGCTTCAAGAAAACTAATTTAAGTGTAGAAAATGGTCCAGAATGTTTTGTTCTAATTAAGAATACTTCAGAACCAAAATATTCCTTCTTACAACACTCTACTGGCTTGAATTAAGAACCTCAATAGATTCTGTACAGACCTGCATGCTTCCCCACGTCTTATTTTTTGCCATCTTTCATAAAGGTCACTTGCAAGCTCAGAATCCACGTCCCAGGCAGAATGGTCCAGAGAGAGACTCTTCTGCCAAAGCAGATTTGCTGAAAGGATAATAGATTTTTCAGATTTTACAGAGATAATATTTGCTCCTTCTGTCAATCTACTTGAGAACATGAGTAATCAGTATCTGCAAAGCATCCAGACCCAAAACAAAAAAGCCAACCCACTTTTTCCCTTCACAGTGAGAATAAGCAAGGGTGTATATATATATATATTATCTTCCATATCAGATTTGTTTAAAGAAAAACATCTGCAAAACCAAATTAACTGTACATGCAAACAAGAGAATGGGCATTGCACAGGCTGTGTATGCTTTAGTGAGACCTTTTTATTGCTGCTATTCCTAATAGATGCCACTGAAGAGTAACCAGGTCATCAGTAGTCTACACAGTACTCTCCACTGATGGCAGTAAAGTACCAAGATAATATGCTATATAGTGGTTCAAAAATATAGTAGCATGGCACAGCAGGGAACATAACAATTCCTAGTTAGGCAAAAACAGTCTTTTCATTTTAGCTTCTTTTCTAGATGCTGATAATTTTCTCAAATTATTCTTAAGATGAATTGCAAAGCTTTACATCAGTCTAAAGATTAGTGTATTTTAGAAAGTTACACTCATATTGGTTCAAGCATTTTAACACAGCAGAAAGTAGTTGGAAAAGCAAGCTTCTTTAGAAAGAAAACAAAAAATACTTATTTTGAAAGTGCATGTACTTTATTTTACAATCCTTAATGTTTAAAGTAATTAATTGAGATTGGTGATTATTGGAATAATCCAACTACAATTTCTTTAGGTCAGTATTTCCAGGCTAATGCATTACACATTTCTGTTTACAAACAGTAGTATCCTAAAGCAGAAGGCAGAATACCTGTAAGTACAGATCTCATTATGTGTATTACTAGAATGAAAATAGAGTAAGCAACAAGTATTCAGTTGTATTAGCCATATTCCTTCATTGAGATTAAAAAAAAAAACAAAACAAAAAAGCAAACATTTTCTTCTAAGATACGGACCTTAGCATGCAAGTGTCCCAGTAAGTGTTCAAGTCACATGTTTCTATATGTCACCTCAATTCTCCTTTTCACATCTGACTGACTACTACTGCCTTCCTCATATCCTCACACAAAGACACATTTTAGGAAACATCATCTTGAAAACATTTCCAGGAGAGTGCTCAAATATTTAAAGCCTATGCTATCAGCTGCCTTCTGAAACTCCTTACTGCACAGAGAGCAAAAACCACTATTCTGAACCAGCTTTTAACAGGTTCAACATTCTTTAGACAGTATCATGCCATGTTAAACCTATTGCTGTATTTTGGTAAATGCTAGCCAGGTACTTAAAACAGCTCCCAGCATTACAGTATCTGGAGATGGATTCTTCAGTCCCAGAAAAAAAGAGACGCCTTCCTTCTGTTTCATATGATACAGTGTTAAGATGCTGTTTTACAAGCCTGATAAACCATATTTGCTAAAATCTATGGAATTATTGCTGTGGGAAAGAGATAAAGAGGAGGCCTTCAAATTTAACTCTAGATATAGGCAGATATTGGTCAATTTTTTTGTTTGGTTTTCATAAAAGAATTCCCAGGATCTGGGCCCAGGTTATGCACATTTTCTAATAACTTAGAGTTAGTGGACAGTTTTGCCATTCTACTTCAACATCTCTCAAGAAAACATGTATGAAGAAAGGAAAGGGCAATACATCATCAATGAGAATTCATAGGAGAGTCTTAAATACTAAAATTTAAAAAAAGAATGTTACAAGACAGAACAATAGCTTAGCACACGCTATGGAACTAGATGTCTGAAATACTGTACCATGTACTCAGTTCCCTCAGCCATTTATATACTCCCAGAACATTTGTTTTAAAACAAATGTAAAACTAAGTACTTGCATGAACAATCTCAATATTCTCATTACAAGTCCTGCTATATAAAATGAATTTTCTACAATACAACTAGTCAGATGCCAAAAAAAGCCTTAGACAAACCTACCTGAATCAGACTTTCCCAAGTAGCACTGAATATCACAGTGGGCAATTGCTTCAAAATTAAGATCTCCCTGCTGGAAAAACAAAACAAAAACATGACAAAACAAGAGAACAAATTTCACTTTCTCAGTGCATAATTTCATAGAGTCAAATAAGAGAATTTTGAATTAAGATAATTAAGTGCCAAGAAAACAATAATTCCATTGCTGTTCAACTCTGGGGACTTAACCTCTCAATCTTCAGAATGGTCTAACAGAGTGGTCTGATACTGAGCTTTTGTTTCAGGACTAAGAACAGATTTCTGGCCTGAGAGACACTGCTGCAGCTGGGTTTGCAGTGCATAATAACAATTCAACACACACAGCTGAACACCATACCTTGGACACAGTCGAATATATCTGCAGAGGTATTTCGAACATCACTCCCACGTTTGTGGACAAACAAATACTAGAGAGCACATTTGTTACAGTGTCTTTCACATTGAGCTTCAAAGAAAAAACATTCCAGCAGCCTGGAGGTAGAGTCAGAGGTTCAGCAAAGTTCAGAATCTGAAAAGAATCAAACAACAGCTGGATTAAAATTGGTACAGCACTTTCTGACACAGGTGGTACCTTGAAAAATGCAAACTTTCATGTCTTTTGTGTTTTAGCTGTTACTACCATGGCCATATGAGTTCACACCTGATCCAAACAGTGCACTTATGCAAATCCCAATACCAAAACATAAGAAGAGCCATTTAGATGCCTATATTGTGTGCTTACTCCTAAACCAGATTTGCCTGATTTGAATCAAGCAGTTGTGCCAGTAAATCATTGGCTTTAAAGGTCATCTATGCAGTAAAGGCTTCCACTATGAAGAAATGCTGAATCCTAGAGAGCACAAACACACACATTCAACAGTTCTGAGAACAGAGCAATGGTCTATAATTTGATGCATCTGTAGCTGCAACTCAAATGAAGGAATAGTTGTCAATAAAACAATACAAAAGTAAGCTGGACAGTGAATAATGCCTCTTGAGACAGTAACCTAATAGTTACAGATGTACATAAACCTTTATTTTTAATGGATTCCAACCAGTTCTAAGAACACAGAGTTCTTCAAAGAACCCATTTTGTATGTCAAAAGTCCATATTTTTAAATCAAATACAAAACATTGTACAAAGAAGAAATTAAGCTTACCTTAACTAGGTTCTTTGTTTCTCTGGCTATGAAGACCTCATTCAATTCAATGCTGAAGTAAAAATTGTTTGTAAACCATATGGACCAATATCCTGAAGTATTATGATGTGGTTCTATATGAAACAGTACTGCAGAAGGATCTACATCAAAATACCTATAAGTAAATACATCAAAAATATAAATACATCTGCTATTGTCCTTGAGTACACAAGTGGTCCATACAAGAGAAGATAACACAGCATTCTTGTATGATGGGGCTCTTCTAAGTTCTCCCAGAGAAGAACAAAATTATTTATTTGGGAATAATGACATATGAGAGTAAAAATTCACAAGAACCATGTAAAAGAGACATGCAAAGTATCTATCCCTCTTGTCATGCTATAGTACAACATTGCCAATTGCTTTATGATACAGCAGGCTGGATGAAATTAGCAAAAGATGACTGAAGCAGGAAAAGACTTCACATTTTTTCTAAGATTATCCAGCTTCTGCATTGCATTAAAAACGGTGCTGGAAATTTTATCATAGACTAAGCAACGTTTACATGATATAAGCTCTTAAAGCACATCTTTTTACGGGCTCCTAAAATTCTTCTTGGGATAAAATACAGAATTATTGCTTTAAATTTGTGACATTTGGCAAATGACACAGCAACAATAGGAAGAAGCCTCTTCACTGACCTTGGAATCAGAGTGATAAAGAAAGTTAACGTCATCTCTTAAAAGTAAGGCACAGTATTTCCATTATAGTATCAGTGCATGTTAACAAACAAACAAAAATCCACTGCCAACCTACCCTTCCATCACAGGACAGAAAAGACAGGCTTTGAGTGTTGTAGTGCCTTTCAAAAGATAGTTCTTGCTGTTGTCAGAATAAAGACTTTCACCGTCACAGGATGCAGCTGGGAAAGAGCAGACACATGGAATTCATCAGTCACAAGCATATCCAAAATTATTTTCATGGGAAGATTTGCAAGAACACTAAAAAGGGCAACCTTTGCTTTGCACAGGTGAGTAAAGTATCTAATTGTTTGAGTCCTAAGACGCAATTTTTTTCAGAGATTTCAAACCTTGCCATAAGAAGTATTCATGAATGATAAACACCTTCAAAAATAAACACAATAAAGCTGTGAAGAGCAATTTTAACCACCTGTCATTGGCATAGCATTCTTACTAATCAGAGAACACTGCCTTCTTTCAACAAATGAAAAATTCCTCTGAAAAAGAGAATCACTTAACATAACAGTCCCTTCTTTCTTCTTATTCATCTATGTTTTTCCTAGGAAAAACATGTCTCAATGTCATTATGAAAGCAGCCTGTTTCATTAATGTTTCAAGTCTGTACACTGCAGTCTAGTGGCCAGAACAGGAAGCAGGCTGGAGTAAGGAATGCTTAAATGCCAATCTCTGCTCTTCCACAAACACGTCTGGTTTCAGGCAAGCCTCTTCAATGGTCCTGCCAAGCAATGTCATAGAAAATGACCACCCAAGCACAATAGCCTCTTAGAAAACATATTTTAAACAGAAAAAACCCCGCATAAACCATAAAAGGATGTTGAAAAGGCATATTCAATAATTATGCTTATTGTAAAGTCAGCTAACGTTTCAGAAACTGGTTTTAGCCCTGTTTTCAAGTATGTATAGCTTAGAGCCTTCAACCAGCATAAGAAGAACCACATATACACAAAAAGGGTGGAATGGAAACTATTAGCAAAAAGAATTCATTCTCTTTCTCAATAAAGTCTAGACAAGATGATTTTGAGATCTTTCAGGGTCTCTACTGAAAAATTACCCTTTTTTCAGCAATCAAATCATATTTAATCATATTATCTCCAAATATGGGTAACTTGTACCTTTACAAGAAATAGAAGCAACTTTTGTGAAGTTAGTAGATGATGAGGATAGCAGTACTGGATCAAACTCCACAAGGGATATGTACTTTTGTGACAACTGCCGTATTTCCTGCAGGAAGACAAGACAAGTTATTTTTATAGCAGTACTACCCTTATTAGTGCTGCAGCTCCTGTATTAGTCTATCTTCTTGTCAAATTTGCATGCCACCATCTGCCATTTTCTCTTATCTTCTAAATCAACACATGAATTTTTATCCAAGTTAACAGTTCTTACATATTAAAAAAAAATAATCCATCACTGAACTACAACATGTCATCTCAAGGACCTACTAGACATTTGGGCACACTTTAAAACTTAGAAGTGTGACATTTGCCACCAGCAAAATCAATCTGCTATTAGAGAAAGCTAATTCCCTAATCACATTCACCACCCTAAATTATGACTTCCTGAAGCCCACATTTACCTGTATATGCACCAGGCTGTTTCCAGAATGCATGATATGCACATCTACTGATGAATGACCTGTCCAAAGGAATAAACACCATGGTAAGATCACCAAGGACAGAAACACTTGTTTTGTCAGACACTCACAGGAGAAGCAATCCCAATTTAAAATTTAAAATCTTTGTGTGACAGATACCCTTGTAAAAAGGACGAACTGTTCACATCTTGAGCTGGCAAACATTCAAGAGAGAAATAAAAATGCTTTAAAATGCAAGCATCTCCAGGAAATAATGCAAAGTTGGATTCAGCACTTTGGGCTCAAATCAGGAATGGTCTATCACCCAGTAGGTAGCAAACTATTGCCTAAAGCAACAGGAGACAGGGGTAACACAGCTTTCACCTGCTGGTAAGGTGGTACAGCTTAGTTAGGGAACCACCTTTGGTCACTGGCAAAGCTATGGTCCCATCCACAGGACAGTAGGAAGATGTAGAGTACCAAAAGAAAGGCAGCAGGACAGAGTAAGAGGTGACCATCATACTACAGTCTTTCACAAGGGAGGTAACTAAGTTTTTGCCCTTGCTTATACTTGCATTAAATCAGTGTATGCAGGCTGACATGAAAGGACGTTCTCCTACCTGACCCACCATGATTTCTAATAATGTGTGTGCTTTGCTCAGCTGCTTGAAAGCAAGACTGCAGATGTCAGCTTCCAAAAGAAGGTTCAAGGTATTGATTACGAGCTCCACACATCCCACAGCTTCTCCTCTGCAGCCTTCCCAGCTGGTTAGTTCCCCTGTGCAGACTCTGCCTACCTGCTGTCCCACCAACAGCTAATCCAAAAGGCTTATAGGACCAACCTCTAGCACAGACAGGACTTATAATTGCACTATATTTAACAGAAAACAGCCCTAAAAGATACTTCTAGTACTTTAACCATCAAAAGTGTTAACAGTGAGCACCCTTGACAGAACAGATGGGAACAATTTTCTACCAGCATCAGAATAAATGTACATCCACAACCCAACATAACAAAGCGCTGGCATCTCACTGGCAGGGAAACTAGGTTTACAGTGGGTATTTCAGTTTCAGCTCTTGAAATACCACATCACAGAACAGGCATGTGGGAAACAGAACATTTCATAGATATTGTTTTGTGTATATTGTATCTATTGTTTTGTGACTAGATTTTGAAATGCATTTCTCAAAAGACAAAAAGATCATGTTCCACTTCAACAAGTACGTTAAAAAATATTATTTTAATCTGGATTCTAAAGCAGTTTCTTATTCTCCAATCAGAAAGGAAAACTGGCAGAAATGTCTAAAAAAAGCTATTCTACTAGACTGCAAGGCTCTGTAAATAATTTAAAATCCCCTGGATTTAGAGGATTTGCAGCATAAAGAAACTGCAAGGAGTTGATTGTTTTGCCTGTGGAATTCTAGCTTACAAGACAAATGATGTGCACATCTGTATTACCTCATTACCCTACTTTCCATAATGGCCACTATCCCCAGTACCATATAAACCACTCTGCCTTCACAATCCCATTGTAGTCAATTTAATTAATGGGAAACCAGAAATGCAGTTATAGAATTAAAAGGACCATGTCATCTTTCCACACTATTTAAGCATGAGGGACTGAAGAATGAAAGAGATCTAGTTTACAACTTTACAACTGTTACCTTTATGAAGAAAACTGTTTATGATAACTCTGCCTGACACAGATTCTCTGCTAGCTGTGTTTAACTGAACTTACTTGGTTTCCCTTACTTGTGAAATTAAGTTGTCACTGAATTTGATTCAATTTAGGATGTCAAATCACAAATTATGTATAAAACCAAGCTGAATTACACTTAACAGGTAGAGTTAGGACTTACCTGAGGTCTTTGTTCTTTCCATTGCTACATAAACTATCAAAAGATTCTCCAGTAAGTATTGTCTGTGCTCCACAAAATCTTGCTGGGCATTTTCCACTCTTACTGTTAAGCTCATTTCTAGCAGCATTGGGTCATCAGACATAAAACAGCAACTCTGGAGTGAGACAAAGGGATATGGTGTGTGTGTGATGGGGGAAGAATAGAAAAAATTCATTACACTAAGGAACTTTGAGAAATTAATCAAAGCTATTATCTAAGAGACAAGGTTTCCAGCACCAAAGTGCTGGCCAAACAAAAGTAATTAGGACCTTTGCTAAAATCTCAGCAGAAACCAAACACAGTGCAGGTACAGAGAGCACAGCAAAAACAAAGACAAAAACAACTAAAAAAGACACTGAACCTTTTGAGAGAATTGAGAGAATGCAAATTTATAAACTGCCTTAGTCAGTCTCACCTCAGGGACTGTAAAACAGTTTCCTTTGTTAAATCCTCTGCCTTCAATAAAATGTGCCATAAACAGACTGATGCATGTGTCTTAATGGTAGGAAGACAGTTCATGTTCACTGGTCTGTTTATAGTTAATTTTTCCAAATCCTGTGCTTTTGTCTCCATTTCTCACTGAAGTAATTTTAAAAAAACAAACATACATGTACAATTCTTAATAGAAAACACTGTTGTCTGGCTAGAATACTTCAGAAAAATACAAATAGGATTTTATTTCTGTCTGTAAGTAGTGGCTGCTGTTAACACAGCTAAGTCATAGCAACTACAAAGACACAGACACCATTTTGCAAAAAAAATTAAAGCCAACAAAGCAAAATAGAACTAGACAACCAACAGTGAACAACATTAACTAGTCCTGCATCAAACCACAAAGGTCACTAAATTCAAACGACAAAGGTCACTAAAGGAGGACTAATTTGCTCAGGATGGAGGATTAGGAGGAGAAAACTGGTATGGGAAGTGCTCTCAGAAGTGCAGCAGAACACTTCCAGCTCTTGAGATTTCAAGTGGCACAAGCAAGTACAGCAGGGGTGGGGAAGTGCCTGAGGATGAGATCACAGCTCACACAGCATCAGAGACCCCCAGCACTTGAAACGGCTTCCAGGAGCAGAAGGGCTGCCATGGAGACTGGGGCACAGGCGTGGTGCGCCCTTGGGAAGCTGAGAGCAGAGGGCAGGAAGCTGCACTCCACACAGCCTCCCTAGGGAAGCTCAGAGCAGAGGGCAGGAAGCTGCACAGCCTCCACACAGCCTCCAATGCTCAGGTGCACCTCAAGCCCCTCAATGCACTGCGCACCGCAGGAACCAAACGGGGAAGCGAAGCAGCTCAGGAATGCCACCATGTGCAACACGTGCTCCGCACAGGAATACAGCTATGGAGCCTGGGCCTCACTGCTCAAACTCTTACAAATTTCCTCATTGCTCCTGGGGCACGAGGTGCCACTGGCCACAGTGCGGGCCAGCTCCTCACCCACAGCATGGGCACTGAGCAGCACCTGCCCATCCTGTAAGGACACCCAGAGACGGGAGGAGAAGCCAGGAGGCACCGCCCAGGACACGAGATAACCTCCTCTGCTGACGGCTCAGTGCTTTTGGAGAGGCTAACACACTCTGCTAACACACCAGCCCCTCCTCAGCTCTGCCCAGCTGCCCTCATGCTCCCCTGAGAAACAGCCCAGGCTTCAGTCTCTCAGCTCACTGATCACTTCTCACTGGGAACCAGACACTCATGAAAAGTTTCTGGAGAAAAGAAATTACAGAAATCTAATAATTTTTGTGCCCCACGTCAGCAGTGCAACACCTACACATCAGAATGCTTAGCCTGTTGGAGTGGTTTTGGTTTGTTTTTATGTGAGGTTTATGGGGTGGTGGGTATCATTTTTCATCTCCTTCTCTTCTAAAGATTTTTGTGTGATATGTGTGACACTTAATTTGTATCAGAGAATACAATTTTATAAAAGCACAATTCCCCTTTAAACTGAGACACTGAAAACTGCATTTTTGCTAAAACTTCTACAGCTGTGGAAAGTGTCCCTCTAAGCTGGGCTTAAAATAAGAAGACTTACATAGATATAAAACAATAATAAAACATACCTTAACTTGCTGATATGTGTCATTAGGTAAACTGCATTCAAGCTGAACCCGTAATAGACTAGCATTCATAGTTTCTGTCTGTAAGAAAGAAAAGTGAAGAAAACATCAAACACATTGTTTCAAGTATTATACAAATCCAACTCACATACCATAATTTAGAAAGATAATAGGACTGCTTTCTCATATATGTAACACAGCAATGTAAGGAATTTTTTTAATGAATACAATTACTCTGTACAATAGTTCAGTAATCAGTCTCTGAATCTCAAGACTCCATCAATATCTACCTATGTATCAAACTATTATTACACATAATTATTAAATATTTATACAGCATCTGCATGAGAGCTCTTACAAATTTTCTTATGCCAAAAAACCTGTATTCAACAGGGCCTTTGTGTGCAATATAAAAGCTTGTTTCCTTGTTTTCTGTGTATTTTCTTTGCTGACTGGATACTGAAATACAGTATCCAGGCCAAGGACATAATGCTTCTTGGACGGGGTCTGATACAAAGGCTTCATGCCAAAATGGACAGACAGAAAATACTTGTTTTGCCATTTTATTCACTAGAATAGGAAAAGAAAAGAAAATAAAAGATGACATTGACTGTGGCAGTTTGTAAAGCACTCATAAATCTAATGGGAGGCAGCACTAACAAAGCCAAGTATAGTTCATGTAAGCTATCTGGAAATCTGCACTGCCAAATTAGTGGCACAAGCTGCACAGCCAGTATATCTAGATTCTGAATTAAATTTTTAAAAAAACAAAACAACAAAAAAAGCCAGAATCAGAATGGCAGACCTGTCACTCTGTCAGTGCCTTTCTTACAGCCAAATGTCATGCTAATTTTGAGGCTAATGTGGAACCCCCACCCTCTGTTCCTCTTGTGATACTGATATATCTGAGTAGGGTATCTGCAGGTTCAGGTTTTTGAAGGTGTTGATGAAACTGACTTTAAACAATTTCAGTAATTTGATGGTGAAAAGCAAAACTGAAGAAACTTTTGAAGCTATCCAGCATCCTATTTCATACGTTTTTAGTACAGGAAAAATAGTACAGGCACATGAGTAGAGAGATTCAGCACATGTGTGGCATTTCATGGGGTCCAGTTTTATAAAAGCACTGCCAAAAGGAAGCCACTATTTGCTCTCCCAATTCAACAGGATTTCATACCAAAATGACTGACACTGAAGCTTCACACAAGAGGGCGACGTAGCCCCTGTAAAAGTGGTTAGTGGCAACTCAAACACAGTCCCCAGCACAGCTTTCTGGGGGCTCAAACCCCTGCAAAGTCTTTTCTCCTTTTACAGATGTTTTTGTCTGTATCAAATTGTGAGAGCAAGAAAAAAAAAAAAAAAAAAAAAAAAAAAAAAAAAAAAAAAAAAAACAAAACAAAACAAAACAAAACAAACACATGGATGCTAGTGGAGTTTTAACAAGGCAATAAAATTAAAACTTTGGAGGTCATTTTCTGATCAGATAAAACCTGATGCTTAAAGTTTCCTTTTCAGTGCTTCTTTGAAAAACACTATTGTCATTTAAAGTAACTTAAGACCCCACATCCATATTAAAAAATCAGCTAGATTGTATTTTTCCAGTCTTTGTTTTTCTTGACCTGGCATAGATCTAAGATGAGAACTGCTGTCCTTAAAATTGAAGCTTCAAATGTACAGAGGGGGAAATAATGCTACTGGGGTATATTTGCTATTGATCTGTTTTCTAAGGGAAAATTTTATTTCTTTGTGAGGCTATCTTCAGAACAGGAAATGGACTTGCATTTCTCTAAGGCAAACAATAATGCATAACTGATATGCCCAATATCTTACAGCACCAGCAGGATGGCTCTGAGTTAACCCTAAAGAGAAGATAATGCATCTGAGAAGGAAACACTGTCAGAGGCAGAGTTTCCAAATAGACAAATCCAGGACCATCTCCCAGCAGTGCAATCACTCAATTTATACTGTAAACACCACTGCTAATGAATCAGAGCAGAGAGCTGAGTTATGCAGCCAGTGCTTGTACCAGGGGCAAATTAAAAAGGAGAGGCACAGCAGGGAAATCTCAGAGAGAGCTCTGCAAAGAACTGCCACTTAATTACCTGGTGCCTCTATTTTGTATTAGGAACTTGGGCATACGTACTTGAATGTACACGCACACTCAGCACCCACAAATCCTATATGAACAAAGACAACTGATAGAAACCACACAAATGGTCTCGAAGATTTTTGGATATATTCTTGCATCATTACCAGGACTGTAGAGTTCAAATCACTTCCTGGAGTTTGTCTACAGTATCACTGAAAAAGAACAACACTCACTGAACAAACCTCCTCTTCTTCCTGTAGGCTGATCCCTCAAAGTTCCTGTCCTGGACAATCCCTGGCCCTAAAGTGGTATTTCTATTCTGAATGGTGTTAATAAGCTGTCCCCGTAATAATGATTCAGCAGAGTTTCATGCTTTTTGCAGGCACACCAAGAAAACTCTACTGTCTTCCTTCCTTCCCTCTCCACACCCAAGCACCACACTTGGACATGTTTGCTTCTATGATCCTCTGCCCACCAGAGCAAAACACAGCTTAAGAAGTGCTACATTTCTGCCAGTACTTGCAGTATTTCCCAAGCTGTCAGTTCATAAACTTTGAACTCCTCAGCAAAGCGGTATCTGTGTGTCTCCTACGATAAGACCTTCCACCCTGCATGCCACTCTTCCTTTGACATTTCCACCATCCTGAACACAGCCAGGCAGTGATGTAGCTACCCTCTTAGTGCTGTCCAAACACTAAACAATGCCAAAAACCAGGCAACTATAGCAAAGACGACACCCAGAAGCTGCATAAACAAAGATGACCTATATGGGCTGCACCATCTGTTACGGCTTAGTGGTAACTAGCCACTGCTGAGTGGCCACATGGATGTACAACGGATTCACACTGTGGGACACTGCTCTTCTTCCTCCCAACAAGTGAGCCACAAACCCAGAAATCCTGGGATCCAGGAGCAGAGGCAGAGCATGCCAATCCCAACCTTTCAAAAGCTCAAACGTTGAAAAGGGTAACAGAAAGATGGAGATATCCAACAGTAAGAAAGGCAAGTTTGCTTTTTCCTTTTCTTATTAAGCACAAAAGTTTCTGCTAAAAAATACATGGGAACGAAGAAGAAAAAAGAAAGGCCTTTGTGCTTTGCCCATTAAAAGATAAAGACAACACACAAAATCCATGGGAGTTCATTTTCAACAAAAAATTCAAACACAAATCTGTCGCACATTGTATTTCCTATGGAAACATTATCATAAACTTCCATCTGTAATCCCCAAGTATATGTTATATTTCCAACACAAATAGCCTACAGTGGCAGAATTTTTACCCATACCCCCTATTTACAATTCTGGCGTTGACCTTCAAAATAGTTTCAAATTGAAGAAGCTCCAAAAGGGGTGGTCAATTTGGTGAAGAAATGGACAGCCCATTACCAAAGATACTACAGAGCATGGACACTTCAGCTTGACAAAGTGAAAGTTCTGATGCTACCTACAAACACTTCTAAGTGTCAGAAGCAGGATAAGTTAGATAAATTAAATGTGCATCTCTATAATAAAATGGCCACAAAGCAAGTTAAATTGGAAGTAGGTTTCCAACCATCAAAGTAAGTATTTGGGGTAACAACCTCCAGCAATTCTGGTAAGTCACTTTACCTAGCCCATAATGGGACTAAATGATGCCAAAGATTTTTTGGCTTTGATGACCAAGGATGTCAATTAACAATTTAAACACAACCACCTTTAAAATAGAAGGCAAAAAATAGACACACAGCATGGAGCATTCTGTCTGAGGTTTCCAAGCAGTATAAGTGGACTTCAGAGGTAAGGACACCTTCCATGTTTCAGACTAAAAGCTGTCACACAAGGTTAGAACTCAATCATCCCAAGGTGAAAAGGGATGTGCAAATGAGGCTCATGCTATCCTGAATTTATTAAAAAAGATATTTTATGTCAGTTAAAAATAAACAGGGGAAAAGAAATGTGCATATGACTAAGTGAGTATGACTGGTTTGTTTTAAATGCTTTTTCACTACAAGACTCCATTCTATGTGTAATAGTTATGTATCCTTCAGCTTGCCCTTTCAGTGTAGTCACTCACTCAAACCTCATCAACCTCTCTTCCTTCTACATCTTCTGAGCTTAAAATATAAACTGGACAAAACATAATGATACCATTTTTAAAAATGAGATCTGGATCAGAATGTAAGGGAGATGAATTGAAAAAGGCACTTCTGGAGAGGACAACTAGCTGTAGAGAAACATTCTTCTGAGAGGAACTCAAACTCAAACCATAAACTCCTGTCCAATATTTAGATCTATAATCTTCAACAGCTGAGGAGCCCATCCCACTGCTGCTCAAATTGATAACATGCAGTGAAGAGCGTTACCTTAATTACAACACAGCACAGAAAAACTACACCCAGAGCTTGGAGAATTAAGTCAATGCTCTCTCCCACCTCATGTCCTACAAGATTAGTGCCAGGTGGTATCATGCTGCACTGCTAAACATGACCTCAAACTTGTACTTCATACAAATAAAACATAGGATAATGTTTGTCATTCTACAGTGAGGAAAATGTACCCCAAAGCTCCTCCTCTCAGGAATTCAGAATGAACTGTAAAAAAGCACGTATGCAACTTTCAGATTCTACCTGACAACAACCCATTGAGCTAGATATGAAGATGCAGACATTAACAGCATCAAAAAAAAAAACCCTTCTCAGTTCTACCTCTAGCAACCCAAATTACAAAACCAAATTACAAAAGCAAAGATTTTTGCTTCCTTTCCAAGAGTCTGTCTTTATTTGTCCACAAGCAAGTGCAACTGCGCAACTACAGGGAAGAGACTGGTATGGAGGAAAAGAAAGGGAGAGAAGGAAACTGTGCACTAACATTGGATTAAGTAGGAAGGATTAACATTGGAAGAAGTAAGATTGATCTAAGATATACATAGCAGATTGAAAAATACAATCTATGCTGGTATTTTTTCTCAGAACAGAAGGCATCACAAAGCAATTAACGCAGGTTACATTTAGATAAAGTATTACATTTTGTTACATGCTAAGGTATTCTAAGTATGTTTTTGGAAAAACAATGTCTGTGTATAATACAACAGGAAATCTGAAAGATCAGATTAGTTATTCACTTGAGAGGTTCTGTATGGACTGGCAGACTATGAAAATATCTGCAACTGCAACCAAATGACAGAAATCATTAAACTTCTTTCAACTCCAGTATTTATATCTCATAAATTCAGCTGGCTGTGTTCTCCAGAGCTCCTTTGCTCCCAGTAAGCAAAGCTGGTATCTTCAGCACTGACAGGGGCAGGAGGGGATGCTGCAGCCTGGCTCCCAGCTCCCAGTCTCATCCATGCAGCACACCATGCTTTTTAACTGTGGCCAATTGTTGGTGCAACCCTGCTGGAAACTCACATGGGGAACTGGCCAGAAGTGAAAAACAGAACAAACCAATACAGCTTCCCATCCTTCTCAATTTTATGGTATAAAGTTAATTTTTTTTGTTAAGGGCAGACCAATTCTCCAGTTCAGTCAGAGCAGAGCCTCACAAATAGTTTTGCCAGCACAGTTTAGAGGGTACCCCACCACAGGGGCACAAAGAAAAACAAGTGTGAATAGTTTAAATGCCAAAGACTGTCTCATAAAGCAGCTGATCACAGTAACCCTGCATCTTGCAATCTCTCTCCTGCAGTCACTGGTACTCGGATTTTTTGCTAATGTTCCTTGCATCCTCACAACCTGAGGTCAAAAATCTTTTGTGGTTAAACAGACCTAGGTTTCTCCCCTCACAATGTATACTATACCAGTGTGTGTGATGCCTGGATGTTCTGAATCTGTGGAAGCAGTAAGTAGGCATTTGCTAGCTGCACTTTAGGTTCTTCTGGAGAAGACATCAGACTTCCCGTTCCAAAAACCTGGTATTAAAAGAAACAGGTCATTACAACAATATCTAGAATTTCAGTTTTAACAGCAGCTTCCAAAACTACATTGCTAATAACAACAATCTTCCCCAAAACAGATCAGTTTTTCACATTAAATTCTTTCAAAGGACAATAAACATAAAGTTCCAATGTAAAAAGTTATCATAGACATAAATGGCACTTAAGAAATCATCACTCATTCAGGCACTATTACAAAGACAAACAAAGTACTCACCAGCAGAGCATCAGGTTATCTCAAAAATGAAGCATCTACATTCTCCTACTATTCTCCAGGCAATTACAATACACCTATCACCATTTAGGAAAGAGGTAATTTCTAAGAAAACTTTGTTACTAGTCCCACTGAATACTGAATTCAATGGCTCTGCCTTAAAAATTGAGTAAAATATTTTCTCATTATTTTGGTTTTTAAAGACTGCAGTTTTCAGAACATTGTAAGAGTTGTAATTTGGATGGCTCTACTGCATTTATATTTTGCCCCGCCAAGATTAGTTTATTGACAAGGAGATGCACAATAACTGAGGGGTGTGGAGCCAAGAGAGATCAAGGAGGCAGGAGATCATCAGAGGCTAACTAAAATTACTTTGGGCTTTTCACTTCTATGCATATATTTGTTGTTTTTTAAGAGGAAAAATGCACGTATTTTTAATTAAGAGGATAACAAAATGCATTTTATGCTCACTGAAGATCTCTGACTCCAGATAGAAAATACCAAAACAAAGGGAATATGCCTTTTTTTCTTTTTAATTGAGGTATTTATAATACAGTGGTGCCTTGTCCCCATTTGGGTGATTCTTCTGAACATACTCTCAAACAAATGCATTAGAAACATCAGCTGTTTCAAGATCAGTTACCTGATATGAAAGAACTCCATGAGATGAGGTATTTATAAATAATGAGCTTTCAATGCTGCCTTCTTCAGTGGGCAGGAAGAGTACTCTGAAAGACATCTTTCCCATGGCTGGAATCACCTGCAGAGAGCACAAAGAAGCTTGCTTGCTTGCTTGGTGCCAGTGATCACACACTCCCCACTCAGTCACAGGGCCCAGAGGACACTTCCACATGTACATCCCCATCTGTCAATCCCACTAAGCAGAACCTCAGCACTCAGAAGTTTCATCTGTGCACAACTCTCAACTCTTACTACACAGCAGTTTGCCAAGTTATGGCTGGAGTTTCTCAGCTAGAATGGCGCCTCACCAGCCAAGGCTTCTTTTTGGATATTAACCCTGCAGCATGGACAGCCTGTGAGTGCACACAGACACCTCCCCACACAGAGAGAGATGGCTATTGCAAAGTGAATCAGTGCCCCTGTGATACACAGGCAAATCAGCCAAGCTGAACTCGGGCAACACTCTCAGTAACTGTGGAATAACAAAGACATTTATGTCTGCACAGTAATACCCATTCAGCTATAGTAAAAGCAAAAATCAGATGAAAACATAATAAAACCCCTTTGCACATCAGCAGAGGATAAAAACTGGGCTTCATCCAACTGAGATCACAGCAATTCATTCTTAACATGCATTATATTGTTAAAAAAATCAGAGTTGAAATAATGGTCTTAGATCATAAAGGCAATTATGCCCATTACTGCAATGCAAAATACATAAAACATTTCACTGCAGGTTTTTCTGACGAATATGCAAGACCGTTCAAAAGACTGAAAATTCAGGGCTGTAGAACACCCACATGCCTGTGGATTACTGCATAATGCTGCTTAAAGCAGAATGTGATTTAAACAGTCTCTCTAACACTGAAAAATTCTTCTCCTCCTCTGTTACTGTCAAACACATTTCCTACTGTAGGTTTTGGATGGCTTCTCCCAAACAAGTCTAAGTAGAAGTGAACAAAAAAACCACTAGCAAAACAGAAAAAGAGTTGGAGGTCCTACAAAAAAGCACAAAAACACAGAATGAAGAGCTCATGCCAGAGGAAGCAGGAAGGCTTGGCACTTGGCCATTACATACTTTGCAAAAGTACATCAACACTCACCCGGCTATGAGCGGGAGACACATGAAACTGTCTAGTAGCTGTAAACACTGAATTGACTACAACATCTCTATCTCTACTAGGGTTGTAGGCATGCAGCATTTTAGCTCTGGGTAACCCCAGTAACCTAAAGCAGGAGAAAAAAAAAGATAAATTAATTATTCACTTTATAAGCATATGAAAGAAACAACACAAATTACCCTAAAACATGTTCATCTGCAACAGTTACCTACTTGTAATTTATCTTTGGCAACACACTAATCAAATTTTGCCTTTAGTATACAAAGGCAAATATGTAACACTGGGATGTGAGGTACACTTGGCCAAAACTCACTGGAGTAACTAGGAGTTTAAAAAAAAAAAAACCTTACAAAGCACAAAGTTTTGGATAAAAAGATTTAAATAACTGAAGTCTTGTTTTGTCAGCTAAAGCAATGATTGTCTTGAGGCTTTTGCTTTAGCTAGTACATCCTAAACCCCAACATCTTAGACATTCCTCCAGTGCATCCTCTGAAATATTCCTTTAACTCACAAGCAGACTGTGTTTCTTTTTGGTTACTGAGAGATCAAAGTCTCATTATCACTTAAGAACAATTTTTAAAGTTTTCTTAAAAGAGAACTAAGAAAAACCTCATTTATTCTAGCAGTATGTTTTGCTTGGGACTCTGGATTTTGTCATCAGAATTAAGAGGGAAACAACAAGCCCTTCCTCCACTGGAAAGGCAATCTTTCAAAAATCAACAACCAGCATGAAGCAATTATTTGACATCCATGCAGAATCACCTGAAATGTACACCCAGAATGTATTATATTCCCAATTATCTTTTCCTCCTTCTCAGAACTATGTTGATTTTAACTTACAAAACACAGCAAGGCAAGAAATGCACTTCCAGCTCTGTGGCAATTACTTACTACTTCTCTGTTTTTCAGATAGTGGCATGATCCCAGCTAATGCTTTTCACCCAAATGGAGCCCAGTGTAGCTGTTCCTCCACACCTCATTATTAACCAAAATAACAATCATGTAAGATACTCACTGCATTCCAAAATGCAGAACTGATGGGTGAAAATGTAAGGCCTTCCCATTAGGAGGCATTTTTGCTGAGAAGCTGAAAAAAAGGGAAAAGAAACCACAATGAAAATTTAGTGGACATTATGCTACAATCTGCAGGGAAGGAAGATACATTGCAGGCTCTTAACTCCTTCTGTTCTGAAGCTTCCTTCCTTGCACAGGTCTCCACAGTCATGCTGGCACACCTGTTTATGGGGCTGTGCAGTGGACTGCAGAGGGAAAACAACTGGGAAGAGTTCTGAGAAATGAAAATTACGTCAGCATGGAGCAGATTACTTGCCTATGCAAGCACTGCCACAGGCACACCTGAGAGATGTAGAGGTAGAGAAGTAAATGGCAGCTTGGGCAAAAGCAGAGATAGAAGAAGTGCTTATATAGCTGTGACTGTAATGTAAAAGCCAGCTTGCTTCTCCTATGCAGAACAGAATAAAAAATACTGTGAAGCACATATACCATCATCTTTCCTTTGCCCTACAAAAAGGGACAGTAAAGTTCCTATCAGTTCTAGGTCATTTTAAGCTTATTTCAACATTACTCAATGCCCTGTAACATAGAAATTCCATTATATCTTCACCATTTTCTCAGTTAAAATTTGTCTTGCACAAGTCCCAAAAACCACAGTGATAAAAAACAAGCCTAGCATTTGTTTATTTTATCTGCATACCCAGTGTCACCCTGTTAAAAGCTTCCCCAGAAGTAGTCTGCATGTTGAATAGCCAGAACCAGTTTTATCTTTACTGGATGATGCTAATAAGCATCCTAGCAAGGATGAGTCAAAGAAGGGAGAGATGGACTGTGGTCTCATTAGGTATCCAGCTGCTTTGCATAATTTGTGGTAGTACAGTCAATTGGTTCCCAATTTTAAAATGTAGTTCTGTGACATTACACCTTTAATATCTCTTACTGTGTACAAAATCCTGCTGTGATATTCCAAAGCAACAGACATCATAATTTATTACCAGTCAGGAAAAATAATACTTATTATTATGAAAACCCACAACTTTTATAAAAACATAGAATCAGAGGATGGAGAGAATTCTCTCACTACTGTAGCAGGCAGAATGCAATATATCCAAGTAGCATTCCTGAGGAGCTGCTAGTGACAGCCTCCTTCCAACCACCTTGTCTCTGCAGCACCCCACTCTCGCTCCATTCCCAGAAACACTGCAACAGCCAGCACCTTCTTCCCTTCCAAAATTCAGCCTCAGGTACATACCCAGAAGTTAAGTCTGAGTACTGTTGTAACACATACAAATTAAAATTACTACTGTAGTAAAAGCCACAGATATTTGAGGAAGACATGTTTCTTAAAGGCCCTCAAATCCTTTTATTGTATGTATACACATGAACAGCAGAATAAAAGTAAAGCCACTGGTTAGTGCACTACAGTATGACCTTGAATGTCACCACAACATCTTACAGATACTGCTGAAATACCTCTTCCCACCAGAAAAATCTTTCCTGACAACAGCAAGAAGTTGAGTGCTTCTCTCTGCCAATTCATGTAATTGGCAATAGCTCTCCAAGACTTGTCCTCCTTGTGAGGAATTCTAGCAGCATCAGCTCTTTTCTTCTCAATTCTTGCTCTTTGCAATAGGTACCAAATGCACCAGCTGGGCACAAATGCAGCAGTGGATGTAGGAGACTGCACTTAATTTGGTCTAGGTGAACATGGCCATGCTGTAGCACTGGCTCTTAAAAATGCACTGTATTGCTGTTCAGCCAACCCTCTACTAGTCAAAAAAATGGGAAAAGCCCTACAAGAGTAGCAGCAGGAGGATCCCAGGGGTGCCATTTATTCCTTCTGGAGATGGCAGCCTGGACCTTGCATGGCTGAAGCCAAGACTCAGTTAATGACCTATGCAGGTTCCGAGCGGGCTCCTAAGCACCGAGATAACTTTGGTGCATCCCTGCACATCGCTTAACCAGGAATGGTCCTGTGATTACAAGACATCCAGCTTCTGCTTTGTACCCCACAAAAGCTGCCAAGTCACTTCAATCTCCAGCCTGGCCCAGAAAGCAGCACAGCCACATTCCTGTGGCACAGTGCCCATCACCCTGCCCACCGTCCAGCTCCAGGGCAGCTGCACCACTGATCGGTGGCCCCGAAGCAGCACCAAAACATAACCTGAGAGATGAGTTTCTTCAACAACAGAACTGGTGCAAAGAGAACTACCACAGCTCTGGGTTGGGTTTTTTTCCCCTCAAGGGAAAAGATGACAGGTTGGAATAATGGGAACAGGCAGGAGAACATTGTGCTCATGACAATCGAACAACTAGGATGTGCTTTGAAGTGCACCACAGTACAGAGAAAGAGACAGGCCCATCTACATTAGAAGTGCACTTCTCCAGTTTCTGTCTCTAAAAGGCAGCTGGAAGCTGGCAGAACACCATTCTGCATCCCCATGTTCCAAACACAATTCAGATCTCTGTGGGGAATCTGACACCAAGGCAATTTACTTAGACATTTAAAATTTGAAGTCACTTCTAACAAAAAAACCCCACTTTTTTCTCTAAGAACATCATCTCGCCAATAGATTCACCTCAAATTATACCCAAAATTGCTCTTTTAGCTACAGATGATGTGTCCAAAAAAAGTACATGGATCCTTTCATGAGAATGTCACAGGCTTGGGAGAGACAGAAATATCTGCCTAAGAATGGAAGTCTTGAAACAACAAGTGTGGAGAAATAGGCCTCTTCCCAACAGAAAAGGCCCGGTTTCCAGTTTTACTCTTTCAGTGCTTTAAAAATCTGCTAGCATCCCATTCAGCATGCCATCTAACAAAGCTGGTCCCCATGTTCCATGGCATGTCTTTTTGGCAGACCAGTTGAACAGCATCTTCTGAATGGCAGATTTTGATAGAGTAGTTCAATTCCAACATTTCAGAGGATACTTTTAAGCACGAGTGAACTGGAGGAAGAAGAAACAGAGGAGGGCAAGGAAATTCTTGGCAATTACTTTGAACACTCAGTATGCATCAAAATCCTAGTTTAAATGGTGCTGTTACCAATACCCAGCCCAACAGTTCAATGCCCTTGCTCCTCTCCATCCACACAATATATCTAAAACCCTGACACCCTGAACCATCCATTTCCAGGAAAAAAGAGTAAGAAAAATTGAGGAGGGCACCATATGGTCACCCAGAGCACCAGGAGGCTCTGGGACAGGTTCTGGCAGGAAAGGGCAGGGTGAGCCCATGAAAGCTTCAGCTCATCACCCTCGCTTGCAGAAAACACCCAGGAGAGAGAGACAAATCCCAAATGTGTACACAACCATCAGGAATGCCTACCAGGGAGAAAGGTGGATATTGGAGATGAAAAAAGTGGGCTGGAAGGGAGGTAGGGTAAGGAAGAGGGGCGACACCAGGGGAGAAGAGCAGGATGGAGGAATGCAAGCACCATTAATCACTTGTGCAAGCAGAGGATCACATAGCTCTAGGGTACCATTTTTGGGGGAATTTTTTTGTTGTTTTTTAAAAGGTGCATGAGCTGTAAAATGTTAAGCTACCATGCTCCCTCCACTAAGAAGCCCCAGAGGTGTTTGAACATGGAGAAGCTCCAGCCTCTCACAGTGCTTCTTGATTCAGGAAAGAACGTTTTGGTGTCCTGTTGGTGTGGGACTATCGAAAGGAGATGCTAATGTAGGGATGCTGAGAGCACTGTTAAATACAGCATTAATATTGTTTTGCCCTTGCTTCTTTCAGTTCTGTTAGGCTGTGATGTATTAAGTAAATACAGGTAAACAACCAGGTCAGTATTTACAGTCCCAAACCCTAATATTTTTATGCAATGTATATTACAAACACTTGTTTAAAATAAGCAAAAGCCTTATGCTTCTCCCAAATTCCAACAGAAACAGATCTTTTTTCACAGGAGATTTGTTCTACTTCACTGGTCAAAATCACAAGAGAAATATTTCTCCTAAAAATCCAAACAAAAGAGCAGATCCATCCTGAATAAATTGCTGGAGATTGCATTGGGGGTTTTTGTTTTGCCTTTATTTTAAATGTAATTTTAAAACTGAGTTAATTCATCTGATTAAACACATAAAACACTCAATCTGCAGAATAAGATGTATGTGAGGCACTGCAACACATTGCCTAGGGGAAGTGAACGACATTTCCTGGAAGGACATTTATCCCAATGTTGCTTTTTTTTTCTATTAGCTCTTTTATGTCTTCCTTGAATCTTTAATTCTTCACTTGAATTGATTACTTTACACTACCTTAGCATGCATATTATCCAATGATTCAGATAGCAACGTCTGTAGTTGAAAATAATCACAAATGCTACTTGGTTCCCTTTCTTCTTCCTTCCTTTTTGTATGCTTTGTTCACAGCACATGCTGAAAAAAGCGAGTCAGGGAAAGGCATTTTATTGTCAGGCCTTTTGCTTTACGGCTGCAGGGTTTTCTTGGAAGCAGCAGGCAAAAAAGACTGGATTCTTGAGCAAACAAGAGGTTCTTTTTGAGTGTATCTGTTTAGGCAATACTGTTTTATTTCTCAGTACACTGATAAAAGTAAAATTTTACTTATGTTGAGCATTTTAGCACTTTGCATGACCAGTGCAGTCATGTTAATGAACCCACAAGATGAGGTTTTGAGATGTGAAAGCATGTATGTATTGTACAGGAAAGTACTTTTTTTATGCAAGCTGAAATAGAGAAAATGAAATAAAACCTCTCTTTACTGACTAATTTTAGATCAATTCCTCTAAACTACATCTGATAAAGAAAACACAGAATGGAACACACAGGGAAACAATCAAACACAGATACTTTTAATCATGCTGACTGCAGCTGATGCAAAGAAATTATTCTGACAAATGAAAAGAGGTAATTAAGGGATAATAGATGTAGAAATAGAAAAAGCAGCTAAATCAAAGTCTTATGCAGAGCTAATGCAAAGCTTTGGTTCGTTATATTCCTAGTCCCTCTCTTCTCTCAACTTCTCCTTTACCAAAGGCAGTAAAAGCAGCAACCAGTATTAGGAACATTAAAGTGCAGCTCCTGAGAGACACACAGTGCCTTTGAAAG